AACTAAGCTGCCAAGGATGAGCTGATAGATCTAAGTTATTACCTCTTGGGGCTTTATATTAAAAACAACACACAGCAAATTAAAAAAAAAAAAAGTTGCCATCCAGCCGATTTCAACTCATGGTGACCCCATGTGTTTCACAGTAGAACTGAGCATAGTATTTTCCATGGCTGTGACCTTTTGGAAGCAGATCACGCCAGGCCTTTCTTCTGAGGTACCTCTGAGAGGATTCTAACCACCAATCTTTTAGCTAGTAGCCAAGTGCTAAACTGTTTAGGACTTAACCCAGGGACTTGTAGGGCCTTACAAAGTCTGTCAATTAACAAGTCTCAGCTCATCTATTCCTGGCAGACCTGGAATAGGTTCAGCGCTTTCCTACCATGCTGCTCTGCTCCTACACTTCTGCTTGCCCAAAGAGCTGCTTTATATACACCTGCGCCACTAAGCACATCACAGCCACCCTTTGCTAACCATGATTTCTTCCTCTGAGCTCTTGTAGCAACTGCACTGTCCAGTATGACAGCCAAGAGCCACATGTGTCTATTTAAAATTTAAGTTAATTAAAATTGTTGTTAGTTGCCATTGAGTTAATTTCAACTCATGGAAAACCCATGTGTTACACAGTAGAACTACTCTATAGGGTTTTCTTGGCTGTAAACTTAATGGAAACAGATCACCAGGCCTATCTTCCAAGGTACCACTGGGTGGGTTTGAACGGCCACTCTTTAGGTTAGCAGTCAAGTGCAAACCATTTATGCTACCTAGAGACCTGGAATAAAATTAAATAAAATTAAAAGTTTAGTTCCTCCATCAAACTAGCTACATTAAGTGCTCAACAGGCACATATTGGATACTGCAGTAAAGAACATTTCTATCACTGCAGAAAGTTAGACTGGGTAACAATGATCTAGACCAATTTTCCTGCAAGCATATTTCCATTCATGCTACACTAAGTACTTGAGATGCTATAGCATTAAATAGAAAAAAAGTCAAATTAGTAAGCTAAATCTTAACATTTATGTAGGCATGTACGGAATCCCTGGATGGCACAAACAATTAAGCACTCAACTACTAACTGAAAGGTTGGCAGTTCGAACCCACCCAGAGGTGCCTCAGAAGAAAGGCCTGGTGATCTGCTTCCACCATAAGTCTGAATCGACTCAACAGCAACTGGCTTGGGTTTTGGGTGGTATGTATATATGTTTGTATATATATACGTACTGCACTTTTGAGAAGGTTTAATAAAAATGTAAACCATGACTCTAAAAGTGGAATGTAAGTATGCATCTTTTCTCAAAAAAACAAAAAAAACCTGTTGCTGTCGAGTCAATTCCAACTCATAGTGACCCTATAGGACAGAGCAGAACTGCCTTGTAGGGTTTCCAAGGAGTGGCTGGTGGATTTGAACTGCCAACCTTTTGGTGAGCAGTTAAGCTCTTAACTGCGGAGGCACCAGAGTACCGTGAAATCTTTTTTATCCACAATATATCTCCAGGGAACTATGAACTTTAAGAAATACTGATAATCACCAACATTCTTCAAACTAGAGTACTAATATCCCTGGGCACAAATAAGTGTAGCAGAATCAGCTTGCAGTTCCTCAGTCTTCCCGTGTCATCTTTCTAAAATCAATCTGCTCAATAAAATGCCTAAGGGTAAGCTTTTAAGCCAGTGTCTCCTTTCCTACTTCCCCTTTGACAGTCACCTCTCCCCAGTGTTACAAGAATGGTGTACCTCTCATCCCATCAGAAACTTACCATGGCTACTGCCCCAAGGACACAGCTGGGGGTCACAAAGGAACAATCTGAAACACTGGTTGTTTGCAAAGGATCTTGTAATCAACGCACCAACACTCCCTCTATCTCATTGTAACTCCCTTTAACTCATTAGGAGAGTCATTTCCAATAAAACTTTCCTTTCAATTTTTAATAAAGTGTTAAAATTTTGATAAACAATAATGCTGTTCTGATCAATAATGCACTAGTATTAATAGGAATAATTCAATTCAGAGATTAAAAAAAAACTTACAGCCTTTTTATGGCAGGAAATGTAAACACTAGATTATACACACACTTTTTGTTGCAGACATTGATGACATTCTGTGGGGACTGGAAATAGGAATTCAAGGAGAAGTATAGGAGTTTGGGGGAAAAGAACAATGTAAAATATTAAGGAGAATATTGTTTTCGTCTCTTTTAACATTAGCTGTGGTATTTAGATTCCACTGAATGCATTAAAAAAAGAATAACTGAAGGGTGTTGTTTAAAAATGCCAATACTTACAATGCTCTGCTAATTACATCCTTTGCAACCATTTTCAGCTATGAAAAAAAGAAACAAGCAAACAAACCAAAACCTAGATGCCAATTTAAAAATGTTTGTGGGAGTTTTTGTAAATCCCTTCTTTTCTCAAATCATGTAGTGCATCACATCTTTTTTATTAGTGGTTTAACATGATATATTAATAAGATTAGCAGCTAACTGTTCTGAGTGTTTCTTACAATGATCTCTAATCACATAAGGCATAAACAGACAAACAAACAAAAAACAAACAAACCCTTTGCCATCAAGTTGATTCCAAATCTTAATGACCCTATAGGACAGAGTAAAACTGCCCCATAGGGTTTCCAAGGAGTGGCTGGTGGATTCGAACTCCCGACTTTTAGGTTAGTAGCTGAACTCTTAACCACTCACTATTACGCTTTGAAAATACATATATATATAAGTACTCATAGTATGAACTTAGAAATAGATATATGTCTACCTTTGTGAGGCTCTCTAACATTACCCTATAGGAAAGACCAGAACTGCCCCATAGGGTTTCCAAGGAGCGGCTGGTGAATTCGAACTGCCAACCTTTTGGTTAGCAGCCAAGCTCTTAACTACTGTGCCACCAGGGCTCCATAAATTAGTAGAAACCTGTAAATCATTAGAAAGTTATTCAGAAAATTTCTGAATTAAGTCATAAAAGTATGTGAAATATGTGAAGAATGTAAACAACCTTTAAGTTCACTTTGATCCAGCATATTGTGACAAAAAAACAAAACAAAACATAATTAATCTTTGTAAACCAGCCTGGAGACGTAAGTCTAAAAACCTCCCTAATCTCTAACCATAAAGAGAAGATGGAACGTTTGGTTAATCTCTAACCCTGGAAAGAAGACATAACATGCTAGTCTCTGACATTACACTGGTCCTTATCATGTGAAGCCAAGGTGAGAATTTCACATATAAACCTTGAATTTCTTCTCACTTCACAGAGAAAAGGCAGAGAACAGAGTATCACCCTCTCCATTCTGACACTCTCCAAAGAGGAGAGGTGGCGGCTGAGACTCTGCCCTCCGCTGACCTTGAACCCTAGCTATAAGGAAGCTCTGCTGAGTTTGAACCATGGTTAACCCTTCCTCCTGAGATCACTCCTTAAAGGTAAATGTCTGAAGTCTAAAGATTTGGACTCTAACCACTGAACATATTGTAATTGTTAATTCTGATTCTCCAGTTCTAAGGAATGCTGTGAGGTCTTACTTGCGTGCCTTGCCATGACTACCTTGCAATAAACTAAAAGAGCTTATGCATGTCAAACCTGAGGATCTCATGGTTAATTTCTAAGATAAAATCCCACATGACTTAACTGTTAGGGAGCACTTATGTGTGAGGCAGTGTTCTGAGGGCTTTGCATATATAAACTCATACCATCTGAACAAAACCCTCTGAGGTAGGTACTGTCATCATCTCTGCTCACAGATGAGACAACCTAACTATTAAAAACCGAAGCAGAGATTCAGCTCTAATCAGGCTGGGCTCCCACCATGCAGTATTACCTACTTAAATATGTTTTGCCTACTTAAATGCTCAAGTGTTGAAAAGTTATCTTTTCAGCTAGGTTGCAAGTCTTAGGAGGCAAGACCATACCAAAAACTTCTCTATGTTCCACAATACCTAGGATTTAGTTTTAACCATAAAACATGTTTGATGAACATTTGCTGATAATACATAAAGACTTTCCAATAATTTCTCTCATCTATCTTAATAATAATTATGAATGGTTTTCTTGAAACATCCACAATTAAGGGTAACATTTTGTTCCCATTTTTTGCAAGGAATCTAAATCCATATATTTGCATATGAAACACGGAAAGATATACAAAACAAGTTTAGTAATGATTATCTCTGTATATTATGATTAGTCATTCAGTTTATTTTTTCTTGCAGGAATACACTTTTTTCTATTCTTTACATTTCCCTATTTTTAAAATTTGCTATAATGAACACTTTTGGTCTTGTAATAAGAGAGAATACCAAAACCAAAAAAAAAAAACCGTTGCCATCAAGTCGATTCCGACTGATAGCAACCCTATAGGACAGAGTAGAACTGCCCCATAGGGTTTCCAAGGAGCAGCTGGTGGATTCAAACTGTCGACCTTTTGGTTAGGAGGCGAGCTCTTAACCACTGGGCCCCAGGGCTCCAAGAGATAATAATGGTTATTAAAATTCTATTTAGAATTCACAAATATGTAAAAGGAAGGAAAAGAAAGGAGTAGAGACAAGCAAGAAACAGGGACACCGACACCAAGTCTGCAGCACATGAGGTGAGTCAGAAGGTTTGGCCTGGACACTCGGGAGGACCCATTCCTTCTTACCTGGTATCAGGAAGCCACAGGGCCCTGGCAGCCCTAGCAGCAGGCCACACGTTCAGACAAGGCAAAAGGAAAATAATTTCATTGTTACAGACTACAAAAGGAATTTCCAGAAATTGTGTATTCTGGATTTTTTCTCACATTTTCTAGAAGACTTAATCATTTCCAACAGACATTTTCTGATATTTATTTGAGAAGCCTATGTCTTTACTTGGGCACCCTGGATAACTCCAAGCACAGGTGGGAAGAGTCATTTTATTAGGCTTTTCAGCTAACTCCAGGGCAAACTGTTTCCTCTTTCTTTTTTAAACTAATAGAGTGATTTAAAAAAAAAAAACAAAGTAAAAACAAATAAAAAACATACCTTGGCATGCAAATTTTTTGGAGGGCGTTGTGAGCAATAATTTATCTGCCATTTCTCCAGGACCAGCACAGCGAGCAATTCCTGGTTCTTTATACTCTGACTTTACCCAGTCTGATAACCACTGCATGTTACAATCACAGTAAAGAGGGTTGGCTCCAATTGCTCTGAAAAAAACACCACCACAAATGCATACATACACACAAAGTATTGTTATTTCCTAAGGGAACATAACTCAAAGTGATGCTCAGTAGAAAATTCCCATAGATATATTGAAGCTAACAACAGAGAAGAAAATCAAACATTGGGTGCTCCTCATTTTCCTGAATTATGTTCTTCTAGGATTTAGTGAGTTGTCACCACTGTTAACACTTACCTGGGCTTTCCAAGGTCTCCTTACATTTGCAGAGAAAGGTTTACATTGGTATGTATGCAATGCAAACCTTAAGTGCAGATTAATACCTCCTTCATTAAACAATTATTTACTGAGAACACAATCACTAAGCTAGGTTCTGGGGACCCAATATAAATAACACACTATTTTTAACTCCAAAGAACACAATAGTCTGCAGAAGAGATTAACATATGTCCATATATATACAAAGGAAACCCTGGTGGTGTAGTGATTAAGAGCTATGGCTGCTAACCAAAAGGCTGACAGTTTGAATCCACCAGGTGCTCCTTGGAAACCCTATGGGACAGTTCTACTCTGTCCTATAGGGGTGCTGTGAGTCGGAATCGACTTGACAGCAACAGGTTTGGTTTTTTCTTTTGGTTCATACACACAAACGGAGCCCTGGTGGAGCAGTGGTGAAGAGCTCGACTACTAACCAAAAGGTTGGAACTCTGAATCCATCAGCTGCTCCTTGGAAACCCTCTGGGGCAATTCTACCCTGTCCTGTAGGGTCGCTATGAGTTGGAATCGACTCGGTGGCAATGGGTTTATATACACAAATAATTTTCGTTAGAAATGTTTAAGTAGAAGTATTCACAAGATGACTGTGAACAGAGTGACTAAGTTCTCCGGGGCGAGGGAGCTGGTGGTCTGAAAATGGGAAACTACATGGCTTAGGGTTGAGCTAACTGGATGGAAAAAGGTGTTGCAGGTTAAGAAGGCTGGTAAGTGCAAGGGGTTGCTATGAGTTGGGATCAACTCAACAGCAACTGGTTTTTTACTGGTTTTAAGTGCAAAGGCAGAGACACATGCAATTATAAAGATATTTAAAGTTAGCTCATCAGAGCTTATTTGGACCTTAATTGAGTGTCTATCCCTTTGCAAAGCCTATAGTTTTGGAACCAAAGCTGTAGTAGCAATAGCAAAAATCACTGAGATAATAGCTAATGTTTATTGCACCATTACCATATGAACAGGGCTAAGCCATTTACACAGGTTATCTCATTTTATCTTAATAGCTAATCTATGAGGTCAATACCACTAACAATCACTTTACAGATTAAGAAACTGAGGTCAGGGAAGTTAACCAATAGTCTAGTAAACCTGCCAAGCTTAGGTGCAAACAGTAGATGCATGTAGTAGCATTTTAAAAACGATGAATTTTGATTTAGAATTTCTCCTTAACAGTTTCTAGGTCTACAGTCTAAGAAAAAAATTATTTTTCTTTTATTAGGCAATCCCAAAAATGTACTTGTAAAACCATAGTACTTTACATTGCAGCAGCTGTAATGGTCAACTCTAACCAAAAATCGGAATGTAGTGAGTGCTATGCTCATATGCATATCAGATTCAAGCCCTTCCTCTAAATTAAAAATCAGCAAAATGTTTTTGAGTCATTTGATCTCACCTCTACTGACATTTGCTAAATCCTTACTATGCCAAGGACTGAAGTGGGGCAGAGCTCTTTAAGATCTAGGGAGTGAAATACAAATGTGTAAATGAAATCTGTGGCAGAATAGAACACCTGACAGAAGAGGGTGCATGACAAAGAAGGTTCAAATGGCTCTCATGGTGGAGGGAGGGGTGTTACATAGGGAAAGCTCTGCTCAGCTGAAGGTAGCCCAGTTATGCAGCCTTTTCTGATCTATCAGCCTAACACTAACAGAATGGTCACTTCCTTCTTCATGTTACCTTCTCTGCCAGGCAGGTACCAAGGCCCCCCACCCCTAAGAGAGGAGCCTCATTCACATTTTATTCCTTGAAAATGACAGCCACAGAGTTTAAAAAGGAAGGGCCCTGATGTCTACTTTGAGGTAGGTGTTGGGGCTCAAAGACAAAAAACCAGAGGTCTTGCCTATAGGGACTTCATAATTTAGTGGAAGGAATATTAATAGTGGGCACCAAACAGTCTGGTAGACAGACGTACAAAAACTGGTGTTGACAGGAGTCCTTGCTTGGCTGCTAATGGAAAGATTTGTGGTTCCAACCCACACAGCCGCTCTGAGGGAGAAAGACCTAGAGATCTGCGTCCATAAAGATTACAGCCAAGAAAATCCCATGGGGCAGTTCTACTCTGTCACATGGGGTCGCTATGAGTCAGAATCAACTCGATGGCACCCAGCAACAACATAAGGCAAACTGAGAAGTAGCATGACCGACTGTTGGCTCCTATCTTCTGCCTATACCCCATTCTCAATTTTCTAAATTCCGCATCTTCTTGGGATTTTGTTGAACATGGAGGGAAGGGAGAAACCAAGAGGGGATATGGGAGACAACAACAATAAAAAAAAAACCTACCATCAGGAGGAGCCAAACTCAGCCTGGCTCAATTAGATCCTAGGGCTGCTCCCAGAATTCCCTTCTAGGTTTGCCATGGTCTAAACATTATAATTTGTAATAACAGAATTCCACTAGGTTTGCCATGGCCTAAAATTACAACTTGTAATAATGGACTCCCACTCGGTTTGCCAAAGTCTAAACATTACATACAACCTGTAATAATGGAATACCGCATTGACCCAACTGAATTTTTTGGACTCCATTTATCATGGATAGCAGTTTTATTGTACTCCAAAGAAATATGGAGGAATAAAGAGGGTATATGAGAGGGAACACAAAGGAAAAGCACTTCACCCAATATGAGGGTTTGGTTGTTTGCCCTCCCAGACTCTAAGGTATTGAATAAAGAGTTAAGACCTATGTCTATGTTAGTTTTTGCATGGTGCCTGGCTCACAGTAGATGATCAATTTGAGCACATCAGGATAGGCATCATAAAGGAGGTGATACTTGGGATGACTTCTGGAGGAGTAGGGTTTGAGCACATAGAATTGAAGGGGAGCTGATATTCCAGAATCAGAGCATAAGAGAAAAGGCTCGGGCTAGGAAAGTTAGGGAGCCATGTTTATAAAAACAGACACTTAGCTAAGCAAAGAGAACTCAACTAATGGAGGGAAAGAGCCAGCAAGGTCAATTAAAACTCTATTTTGTAGGGCACCATATTCCAGGTTGGAAACTTTACATTTTCTTCAAAGAGGAAAACAGCATGTTATGATGTTACAATAAAAGGAGTGGCAGAGAACTGTTTCTTCTGAACTCACTATCCAGGGATAGTCTAACCCCAAAGCCCAGATTTATGAACTAGGTACTCACAGGTGTGACAGTGCAGAAAGATCATTGAAAGCACCTTCAGGCACAGCCGAAATGTCATTTCCATGTAAAGAACTAAAAGCAAGAAAAAGAAAAATTAAATTTCCTATTCTCCAGAGAATCCAGGAAAATTCCCATGCATGTATGAGATTTTAGTTTATGATAATACTTTAAATCAGTGCAGAAAAGATGGTGTATTTAATAAACAGTCTTGGTACAACTGGATATCTATTCAGGAAAGCAAAAAGTTAGTTCTGATTTCACACCATATGCATAAATACATTCCAGATTAAAGTACTAAATTTAAAAACAAAAATAAATAAGTGTTAAAAGAAAATATAGAAGTGTTTAAAAGAAAAAGTGGGATGGAAGACTTTGAAAAGCACAGCATAAAACTCAGACACCATAATGGAAAAAACTGACAAATGTTGACATTATAAAATAGATCCATATGATAGAGATTCCATATAAGGCACCAAACAGGAAGTATTTTGCAACATACATGTGAGGAAACCCTGGTGACACAGTAGTTAAGAGCTACAGCTTGCTAACCTAAAGGCTGGCAGTTTGAATCCACCAGGCGCTCCTTGGAAACTCTATGGGGCAGTTCTACTCCGTCCTATAGGGTCGATATGAGTCAGAATTGACTCGACGGCAATGGGATATTTTTTTTTTTAATAACATGTAAAGGATTCATTCCTTTATAAAAAGATCTCCAATATTTCAATAACGAAAAACAAAGTACCCAATAGAAAAATTAGAAAATGATGTGATCAGACAACTCATACAAAAAGAAGCACAGATACATAATAAACAAAATGTACTCAAATGTTCTAGTAAATGGAAATCAAATTACAACAGGAATGGAAAATAATTTTCCATCATATGGACAAAATGAAAGGATTAATAATATTCAGCATGTGCAGTAGTGCTTGGGAAAAGGTACTCTATTTAATAGCTAGGAACCCTGGTGGCACAATGATTAAGTACTTGGCTGCTAACTGAAAGGTTGGTGGTTTGAACCCACTCAGTAGCTCTTCGGGAGAAAGACCTGGCGATCTGCTCCCATAAAGACTAAACAAAAATAGTCGAACAATTCTGACTCATAGTGACCCCATAGGGTTTCCAAGGCTGTGAGTCTCTACAGAAGCAGACTGCCACATCTCTCTCCCTTGGAGTTGCTAGTGATTTCGAACTGGTGACCTTTCGGTTAGCAGTCGATTGCTTTACCCACTGCGCCACAAGGGCTCCTTGCCCATAAAGATTACAGCCTAGAAAACTCTATGGAACAGTTCTACTCTGTCACATGACGTCGCAGTGAGTTGGAATCGGCTTGATGGCACACAATGACAACAACATTCAATAGTTGGTAGAAAAGTCTTGTTTGGTCAACAACTTGATAGTTACTTTGGGTATCTTTCCAATATACTTGACAATATTTTCCCACCGGAAATCATTGCTGAAATGCTTACACATGTGCACCTGGACGACTGTAAAAGGTGTTCATTACAGCACCACAGAGAATAATGAAAAATTAGAATTAAACCAATGATAAAACCAAAAAACCAAACCCGTTGCTATCAAGTCGATTCCGACTCATAGTGACCCTACACTACAGATGAAAATTATCAAATAAATTATGATTTCTCCATCCTATAGAATACACCAGTCAAAGGATTGAGGAATATCTATATTTAATAGGATGGTAAGATTCCAAAGCATACTGTTAAATAAAAACAGCCAGAAGTAGAATAAACGATACTGTGTATGGCTTTTAAAAGTTATTTGGCCGTGTACATACCTATCTCAATATATAAAGACAAATGCATATAAAAAAGGATGAGAACACATCAAACTGTTAACTGGTTTGCTCTGGGGAGAGGAGGGAGATTGAGGATTTCAGATTTGAAGGAGCATTTTCATGTACTTTAAAAGCAATCTTTTACAACAAAAAGAATGTATTCATATATTACATAATTTTAAGAAATTTTTTTGTCTGTATTTCCTTCAAAATAAGTTGGAGCTATGAAAAACCCATAACTTAATGTTATATGTTGTCTAATAAATGACTACAGCAATAAGAATTATAACAGAGAAAGTTAAGTTCTCCAAATCAAAGCTTCTTGAGCAATGATATAGTAAAACATGATTTTCCTATTTCCAAATCTACAGTGAATACTGCATATATCCTAAAATACCCACAAATTAATAAAGCAGTTAAATTACTAAAAACACAATGCTTAGATCCCCTGGAAAAAGAGCTGTTTTATTAAAAGTAAAATGCTTACAGTAATCGAAGAGACTTCAACCCATCGAAAGTTCGGGGAGGAATACATCTGAGGCGGTTGTAGCTGAGAATCCTGAAAGCACATGTAAACCAGTTTGATTTTCTCAGATATCCAAAAATCACCAAATGCCATTTTAAACACAAAGCAGTTAAGAAAAGAGTTATTTTAGCATCCTATAAATGAAGAATATTGATACGTAATATGTATTTATCTTTGGGCTATCTCACTAACACTGTGTATTTATTCATTTTCTAAATACAGCCTAGAATCCTTCCCTCTGTGTACCCCTGAACAACTCTGATGCCTCAACTATTCCCTCTGGCAGGTGACTTTGGATTTCCCCTAACCCCACCGCACACATAAATTATTATTTTACTTGTTTATTTTATAAAGCCCAACATATTCTGTAATATCTGTATGTATTTGTTTGTTTACTGGGGTTTTATTAGGTTGTTTCTCTCAAGAGAATTCATGTCCACCAGGGCAGAGACGCTGTCTGTCATGTTAACCAGGAATGTCCAATGTCTTGGAAAACAGCATTCTGTCCAGTGAATGAATGACTACTCAGTACCACGTTTTCACACTCACAAGGTGAGGAGCTGGGTCATGTTGCTGAAGCTCTGATTAGAAAGGGTGCTTATTCGGTTGTTACTTAAGTCTCTACAAGAGAAAAGGAAAAAAATTGAGTCTAGTATTACCAAACCAAAAAAGGAAACCCGTTGCCATTGAGTCAATTCTGACTCATAGTCAGAATCTATAGGACAGAGTAGAACTGCCCCATAGAGTTTCCAAGGAGCACCTGGTGGATTTGAACTGCTAACCTTTTGGTTAGCAGCCATAGCACTTAACCAGTACACCACCAGGGTTTTCCTAAAATTACCATGGAAGTTGAAATACTAGTGATTCTGAGAAAGAGAAGGCACTTCTTGTTCATAGTAACAGCAGTATTATTAACACGAGGCTATTAACTGAAAATAACAAAACACTGGATTACCCTCTGTGGTAGATTGTATTTTTATTCATAATTATTCCCTCGCCGCCCTTCTGAAATTAGAAGTGACCATAAAAAAAAAAAAAAAAAAGTTGCCGTGGAGTCCATTCTGACTCATGGCAACTCCATGTGCTACAGAGTAGAATTGCTCCATAGGGTTTTCTTGGTTGTAGTTTTTAAGGAAGTAGATCTTCAGGCCTTACTTCTGTGGTGCCACTAGGTGGATCTGAACCACCAACCTTTAGGTTAGTAGTCCAGCACAAACCATTTGCGACACCCAGGGACCTTCAGAAGTGGCACAGGCCTTTAAGTGTAAGGAGCAGTGGCAGTTCCACTTCAGAGCAAAAGCTTTAAGATCAAACCCACATTTCCCACAACCCTCTCCTCCGTCTTTCAAAGACTGAGATGTTACAAGGAGTGCCTGCTCCACTAGCCTCCCAGAGTGAAGAATGGAAGAGCTAACTCACAATACACACATTTCAAGAGCGAGAAATAAATCTTTGCTCTTGAAAGTCCCCTCTGATATATATACTTTATCGTCACTGATATACATGCTTTTAACAACTAAAATTACTCAAATTTGATAAGTGAAAGAACACCTGATTTAATAACAATTACAATGTTGTAATTAAAAACATCTGTACTTTTGCCCTTGGCAGAGTCACTGACATTTGTTTAATGAATTACAAGTAAATGAAACAGATGTGAGATTTTACCAATGCGAAATGGCTCTTTATAGGTTCAGTTTTACTATGGGTTATAATTTATATTTAGTGAACTTGGTATTATTCTCATAAAATATATTTTTTTAATTCACTAATTTTTCTCTGAAGCAAATTCAAAATTTGTGAATAAATGGAAAATTCAGAAATGCTAAAATTTGTCCATTCGTTCATGAAATTTCAAAATATCAGTAAAATGCAACCACAAAATTATGACAATGGTAGGAACCCTATAAGGAGCTTTATAACACATCTTCTTAACTCAAGAAAGTTAAAATAAATTAAATTAAAAATATATATATGTATCTATATTAGCAGAGGAGTCCCTGGGTGATGCAAATGATTAACTCACTCAGCTGCTAACCACAAGGATGGAGGTGCAAGTCCACCCACAGGCACCTAGGAAAAAAGGCCTGACTGTCTACTTCTGAAAAACCAGCCACTGAAAACCCCATGGAGCACAGTTCTAGTCTGGCACACATGGGGTCGCCACGTGTCAGAATCAACTCAACAACAATTGCTTCCACAAGCAAAAGCTACTTGCCTACAATTGTACACTGTGTCACTGATAAAAACATTTTTGGATCCATAAGTTCTCATTTTTCATTTCTAACTGGTGTGCAGTAACCACATGATGTTCTACGAATTTTTGCTGAAGCAAAATTGGGTCAAATTTCTCCTTTGGAAACTGCAGCAATTTAATGGTTTATTTAGGAGACCAGAATGTATGTAATCAGTTCTTGCTGCTATCAAATAAATAACTAGACACAGAAGCAGGCATCTTCAGGGATATTCTATTTCTCTTAATTCAATCATTCTGCCATTTGAACATTCCTATATACTTTCTATGGAGCCTTGGTGGTGAAGTGTTTAAGAGCTCAGGCTGCTAACCTGAAGATTGGCAGTCTGAATCCACCAGCCGCTCTTGGAAACCCTATGGGGCAGTTCTACTCTGTCCTATAGAGTTGTTATGAGTCGGAATCAACTTGACCGCACACAACAACAACATACACTTTCTACAAGATATTTGACTTTTCTGCACTTTAAAGGAAACTTGAAAAGGATAAACAGCATTTTTACTAACTTCAATCTGCCTAAAGTCAACATGTGAAAATGGAATGTGTTCTTCCACCTAGGTTTCTAGAATTCACTACTTAGGGATTACAAGCAAAAAACTCCAAAAAATCAGTTGTCGTTGATTTGATTCCAATTCATGGCGATCCCACGTGTGTCAGAGTAGAACTGTCCTCCATAAGGTTTTCAATGGCTGTGCTCTTAACCATTTGCGCCACCCAGGGGCTCCAATTAGGGATGTAGTTGATGTCATCAGTTGCCCTCCTGTTGATTCTAACTCATAGCGGCCTCGTGTGCCAAGTAGGACTGCTCCATCGGGTTTTCAAGGCTGTGACCTTTAAGATGCAGATTGCCTGGCCTGTCTTCTAAGGCACCTCTGAATGGCTGCAAACCAGCAACCTTTCAGCTAGTAGCTGAGTAGGTAACCATTTGCACAATCCAGGGACTCCCTCTTATTAGGGATAAACCTCTTTATTCTAGAAACACTTGCAATCTGCTTATTAAGTTAGTCATATTTACACCAGAGCCAGACAGACTTAAACGTAAGGTAACTGTCCTGCCTTAACATCTACTAGCATGGCCCATTTTTTTTGCGTCCTGAAAAGTTTTATCAATTTACCAACAGGGTAATCTACAAGTGTGACATTAAATGTAACAAGACTAAAACTCTTTTTAAATATTGTTTATATAACTAGATCAAAAGGTTTGTATATTTAAATATCATCTTAGCTTTACAACTTCAAGATGGTCTAAAGTGGTTTACATTAATGGGAAAAAAAGGGATGTTATTTTAGGAGGCTACCAAACAAAACTGAAAACACAGAAGCCAATATTTTGCAATTTATATTCAGAATGTTGGCATTTTTGTCAATTTTACTTAAATACTACACACATAGATATGGATCCTCTAAAATGAGTTTCAATACTGGAAGCCCATGGCTTACTTAATAATATTTTATATAAGAGTCTCAAATCTAATAAATTAAACTTCTACTTTCAGTAAAGTTACTGCCATCTAGCATCTTTTGTGTAAAGTCAAGAATAAAGTATAAAGACATTTTTCCCTATAATTTTCCCATTGACTTGTCATAGTCTATAGTCATTGTTGGTATAAGTACCCAATTTTACTGTTTCTCTAAATTTTCTGACTACTCAGACTTCATTGTATTTGTGCTTCTTTGAATAGAAGCAGACCTTTGTCTAAGACACTCCACTGCCTGACTGATATTCGATGAAGATGTAGCTAGTGATCCAGAACCCCGATGAGCAAGAAGGGGAGCATCTAGCTGTAAATGATTTATATTATCTGAAAGGTTCACTAAGTCTCATGCCCCTTGCCATCCCCATTTTCATGAAATAGAGGACGAAGTCAAAGACTGAAAAATGTAATGCGTTACTTACATAAGTGTTAGATGTTTGTAGTTAGAGAGTTCCTTGGGAACCAGTGTGAATTGGTTCCCATCCAGATACCTAAAAAGAAAGAAACAATATTATTATTTTTTTTTTTATAAAATCACAGCAGTGTCACATAATAAAATAGCTGAACAACATTTCCCACTTGGTTGAGGCAAAGAAGGGCTAGGTAATTTTGCCTTAAGATATCATGTTCCTAGCTTGGATTGGTTATTTAAGAGACGTACAAGAAAAACACTGCTGTCTAATCCAGCCAAATTATTTTGTGGATCATTTAGGTTAAATTACAAAACCAGAGAAAGATTGGTGAATCCAGCTCTCTGTGGTTTATCTAATAAGGCATGCAAGCATCCAACCACTTGTGTGTCAGCAAGAAGATCCCAATTAATTCAATCACCATTATTTTTTAGTCTGGGTCCAGTTTGCTTGTAATCATGAGGACATAATACCACAAAATGTATTAGCTACTAACAGAACCTTGCCCCTACGGGAAAGAACACTGCTCACTGCAGAAATAGGTATCAATAAACTGAGTAAATAACAATGGATGGTTTTAAGGAGATATATGGGGCTTTGAACATAAATAGATTTAAGTTAAAAATACTTTAAATGTAGGTTTGACTACTATATGTCTGCTTGATGATAATTTATTTTAGCAGGTTTCCTGGAATATCATGGATTTGTCACATGTACAAATATAGCATACATACATAAATGGAATGATCAAATAACCACATAAAAGTAAATTTGTCCTTTCTGATTAGTCAGAGAAACAACCAGAAAATGAGTAGGTTTTAGGGAGATCTGGCAAGACACAAAAACAAATGAATACCAAAACCAAACCAAACCAACCTTGTTGCCGTTGAGAGGATTCTGACTTATAGTGACCCTATAAGACAGAGCAGAACTGCCCCATAGGGTTTCCAAGGCTGTAATCTTTAGGGAAGCAGACTGCCTCATCTTCCTCCCAAAGAGCATGTGGTGAGTTTGAACCACTCGCCTCTCAGTTAGCAGATGAGTGCTTAACCACTGCACTAACAGGGCTTGGTTAAATCAACGACGATACAAAAGGAAAAAAAAATAATATGTATCTCCTACCAAAGCTGTTGCTTTCCATAGTATAGATGATGAAGTATACAAACGTCTTTTAGCAACTTGGGCTATCTGGGTAAACGTGCACCCGTAACAATTTTGGCACACTGGACATGTGGCCCCTCCTACCCAATATTATGGCCAATCTCAAGATCCAGGATTGAGGCTGGTATTTTTGCTGGATACAGAAGTAGCTGAGAAGTTGTGTATGGTAACAATCTATTCCAAACACTTCAAAATGAAAACCATTATATAGAGGCACAAGTTGTCAAAATATCTGTTAAATATCTGATTAACAATAGGGCATACATTATGACTTCTTACACCTACTCAAATTTTTTGACTTCTTTCTTTTCCTCTAGCTGTTTTTCTTGCTAACACTAGAGGGCAACACAATCCCGTATACTTCAGCTCCCTCCCTTTACTCCAGAAAACATCACAGCAGAAGAGCAAAAAGACTCAGAATATGCAGTATGGATATTTACATGTAAAACAATCTAAGAAGAAATTATATGGAAATGGTTAAGAAATAATGGATACCATTTGTTCAAACTTGCACACCAATACATACTTATTTTTGCCAAATTCTTTAATAATTTAATATAATACACATGTAAAATTTGTCTAATATGTGCATATATGTTATTGTCGAAAAGGTCCAGCTGACTTGGTATGGTTCTAAGAGAGACTGGGAGGTAAAACTCCAATTCACAAGAGATGAGTTAATATTTTCCTCATTTCTGTAAAACGCTTTCTTTAGAATAAAATACTTTTTAAAATAACTTAATAATTTGTAGTGAAATAGACTGAAGATCAGGCTATCTGACAGAAGAAACACATAAATGGCATAGACAGGACATGAATCAAGCAGACTCTCAGATGCAGTTTAATAATGAGATTAAATATATTTTTTTAAATTATTTGATGGGAATTGGATAAAAGGGCTAAGGCATGGGTCCAGTTAAAATGGTTGAAGGGAGTCAGCATCAAAGATATTCATTCTACCTAAGAGTTATGCTTTCAGCTAGGGTGTTCCTAGAACCAGTGCTCTGCACACAGAATATTCTCCAAGCAGGCATCTAGCATCCCAAAACTGGAGGGTTAAAATGCCCATGTAATCTTCAGAAATGAAATACATGCATACATACACAGTATACACAGGCATTGAACAGTGTTTCGTGTCTATTTCCCCTGGTGTGTGAAACATAAATAACTGACATGGACCTTTAAGGTCTTGTGAAGTGTTTTGTTTACTCACAGGGAGCGATTTATCTGAAGTAACCGTTAACTGTGTATGTGTGCGTGCGTATATATACATATCCATGATGGCGCGGTGGTTAAGTGCTCCGCTGCTAACAGAAAGGTCGGCGGCTTGGCAGTTTGAACCCACTAGCCACTCTGCAGGGTAAAGAGGACATGTGACTGTTGTTAGGTGCCATCCAGCCAGTTCCAACTCATAGCGACCTTATGTACAATAGAACTAAACACTGCCCGGTCCTGTGCCAGCCTCACAATTGTTGCCGTTTGAGCCCACTATTGCACTCACTGTGCCTTAATGATTTACATCCTTGGAAATCCTATGGGACAGTTCTACTCTGTCCTATAGGGTCACTATGAGTTGTAATTGACTCAGGAGTAGTGGGTTTGGTTTTTTGGTGTGTGTATATATATATATATATATATATGTGTATGTATGTATGTACATATGTATGTGTTGATTTCATTTCAGAAGATTGCATATAAATATACATACATAAAATTAGTATTTAATTACACACACACGTAAAGCAGTGCTTACAGTTAATTAACAACTGCTGTGATTGGTAGCAAGGGAGAGAAACTGAAACCATTCAAGAGGGATCTTCTGGGCATGTGGGCAAAGGCCACTCCTTTCTCTAAGTGTTCTATTCAGGACTAAATTTGGATCCATAGAACTTTGAATGATTTGAAATCAAGGAATCAAGTTCCTTGAAAACTAAAGTGGCATCCTCTTGAACCTCATTACATATGTTAAAATCTTCTAGGAACTGAAGTTAAATATGGTCTAGTTTATGATATTCATGTATATGGGTTGTAGTTACATGAACTAACATAGCTGTGTGAGGTTAAAATGGAAATACATGTGTGTTTGAAAATCATGTTGATACATCTGCTCTATTATTACAGTTGAACAAATGTAAAAATAGCACTGAATATCTAAAAGTCATTTTATTTATTCACTCAATCATTCATTCATTTTAAAAATATATTTTGAAGGCCTATTATGTATGTCAGGAGCCCTAGTGGTGCAGTGGTTAAGAGTTCGGCCGCTAACCAAAAGGTCGGCAGTTCAAATCCACTAGCCGCTCCTTGGAAACCCTACGGGGCAGTTCTACTATTCCAAGTGCTGACAGTAGAAAATGACAAAAGACACATTTCTGTTCTCAAAGAACCAATGGTTCGTGGAGAGAAACAGAATTGACATTTACAGTACAATGTGATATGGTGCAATCTGGAAGTTACGGTAAGAGTAGATACAGCAGGGAGTTCATGGGAACACAGAGGAGAAACACGTCTTTCCCTGAGTCTTAGCTTTTTAAACACTTATGGAAGAAAGCACACTCTGCATATATATGATATTTATATTCAACTGAATAAAGACTAAGTGTATAAACCAACACAGATAACTTACTTGGATATTTAAGGTCTTCTGAAGTGTACCAGGGGATAATTCACAGGGGATAATTTATCAGAACTCATTGTCATCTGTCTAAATAAAAATCTTTAGAATCCTGTTTGCAAATTGTATTCTATGAGTCATTTATGAGTGTAGTGTAAAACTCTTAACAAGTAATATAAAAGCTAATTCAGACACCTTTGGGAAATGGGGTGTGTGTGTGTGTTTTTCTTTCTTTTTCATTGCAATACTTCTCAACATCTTTATTATGCTAAGGCACACTGTAAAGCCCTAAGAGGGAATGATAAAATATAAGGTTTCTCCCAAATTTATTTGGCCATATGGGACTTTTCTCATGAAGCATCTTGCAGAAGTAATTGTTCCACTGAATGCATGTTGGGAAATGCTGTATATTTAGTATATTTTAAGGTATCTAGGTTATTTAGTACAGTTGATTCTTCTTTATCAATACGACCCCTGGGATACTATCTCATAGCATCAGATAAATAAATGCTGGGATGTGGAAGAAAACGGTATACTCCTTACTCTTAAAAGGAGAAATTGCTCTTTCGAACTTTGGAACCAGTCCTTTAGATCCTAATGGGGGTTGGGCTGATCATCTCTGACATTTTCAAAACTGGTACTTAAACACAAGAATACACACACATCCACACCCTCAGCACTGCCCACCCCCCTCTGGCTGACTCATGCTATCAGGAATGGAATCAATCAGAGAATAAGCTGCTACAGATAATGGTATGTGCCTGCTTCATTCTATTCCTTTATCCCTATATTAATGCAGTAAGTCCACATGCTTACATGCATCCAAGTGAGTCATTTGGAGTTTATTTTTTGTCTGCTTGGAATCATGTATCAAAACCAGTTGCCATCATCCCCTGTGTTAGAGTAGAACTGTGCTCCATAGGGTTTTTATGGTTGTGACCTTTCAGAAACAGATTGCCAGGCCTTTCTTACGAGATGCCTCTGGGTAGGTTCAAACCACCAACCTTTAAGTTAGTAGCTGAGTGCTTAATTAACAGTTTGTGCCACCCAGGGACCCCATGTATCAAAAATGATTTAAACCCAAAAGAAACTCATGCATCCACAGTTACTCTAGTATTGCAAATGAGCAAGTTTGGTAGAGTTTGGAATCACAATCTATTCTTCTTGGGTTTCTCCTAGTTCTAAATCTCCCACATGACCTAGCAAATCTCAAGGTAACACAGATGACCAACGGATAGTCTTTGTTTGCTTCATCTCTATCTCCCTTGGTGTGTGAAACATTAATCGCTACGGAAAAGGAAAGACAATCTTTACTTACAGCTCAGTGACATCTCTTGGAATACCTTTCGGTAGGACCTTCAAGCCCTTGTTGCTACATCGGACTACTGTATCCAAGCAAGTACATTCCGTAGGGCAGCGAGAGAGTGGAGAACAACTATTATCATCATTTCCTAAATCGCCAAAGGAAATAGGAAAAAACACGGTTTTGTGGCTTTAAAGGTGCTAGCAGGGATTTTATGCCTTTAACTGAACTTAACAAACACAAGGGTCTTGAGTCACATGATCCCTTAGGTAGAAGGCATTAAGTATTTACAAACTGGCACTATGTATTTTTTATACAGCACTGTTTCATGACTGCCTAGGACAGAATTCCAGAAAATAGTTCACAATTTGTATTATACTCACACACACACAAAAAGTTATTTTATTTATTATTATATTGTTAAACTCTATTATTTTCATATAAAACAATAAATTATACCTTTAATTAGAATGTATGTAATAATTAAAGTGAATTATGGAGAAATCAGAAGGAAACTGGTATGAAGAGACTTAAAGAGACAGATGAATCTAAAGACAGGGCTCAACTTATCTCTCCATTTACTAGCAATCATAATAAAACCTGCTCTACCTTCCCTACCAGGCTACAGTGAGAATCAAACGTGATGATATACTGCTGTTGTTGTTAGTAGTCTCGCATTAGCTCCGACTCATGGCGGCCTTAGGTGTTACAGAACAAAACGTTGCCTCGTCCTGCACCATCGTCATTGCTACGTTTGAGTCCACTGTTGCAGCTATTGTGTAACCTTATAACCTAGGGGGCTCATCTTCCAGCACTATATCAGACAATATTCTGTTGTGATCTACAAGGTTTTCATTGGCTAGTTTTTGGAAGTAGATCGTCAGGCCTTTTTCCTAGTCTGTCTTAATCTGGAAGCTCCACTGAAACCTGTCCATCATGGGTGACCTTGCTCATATTTGAAATACCTGTGGCATAGCTTTAAGCATCATAGTAATACACAAGCCACCACAGTATGGCAAAATGACAGATAATTTGTGGTGATGATATATACAAAGCATTACAAATGAAAACTATTCAGGCAGCTAACAGACACATGAGGAAATGCTCCCAATCACTAGCCATTAGAGAAGTGCAAATCAAAACTACAGTAAGATACCATCTCACCCGAACATTACTGCACTAATTAGAAAAACAGAAAATAATAAACGTTGGAGAGTCTGTGGGGAGACTGGAACTCTAATGCACTGCTGATGGGAATGTAAAATGGTGCAACCACTATGGAAAAGAATATGGTGCCTCCTTAAAAAGCCAGAAATAGAAATACCAAATGATCCAGGAATCTCACTCCCAGGAACATATCCTAGAGAAATAAGAGCCGTCACATGAATAGACATATGCACACCCATGTTCACTGTAGCATTATTCACAACAGCAAAAAGCTGGAAACAACCTAAGTCAGATGAATGGATAAATTACGGTACATACACACAATGGAACACTGTGCAATGATAAAGAACAATGATGAACCCAAGAAACATCTCACAACATGGATGAATCTGGAGGGCTTTATGCTGAGTGAAATAAGTCAATCACAAAAGGACAAATACTGTATGAGACCACTATTATAAAAATGCAAGTAAAGGTTTACACACACGGAAAAACAATCCTTGATGGTTATGAGGGAGGAAAGGAGAGGGGAGGGGTGGGGAGGGAAAATCACTAACTAGATAGTAGACAAATGTTAACTTTGGTGAGGGGAAAGACAACACACAATATAGGCGAAGTCAGCACAACCTGACCAAAGCAAAGCCATAGAAGCTTCCTAGACACATCCAAACGTCTTGAGGGACCAAGTTACTGAGTGCTGGGGATCATGGTCTCAGGGACATCTAGGTCAACTGTCATAACATAGTTCATAAAGAAAATGTTCTACATCCTACTTTGGTGAGTGGTGTCTGGGGTCTTAATAGCTTGCGAGCGGCCATCTAAATTACATCTATCGGTCCCAACATGTTCAGAGCAAAGGAGAATGAAGAAAATCAAAGACACAAGGAAAATATTAGTCAAAGGACTAATGGACCATATGAACACAGCCTCCACCAGCCTGAGCCCAGAAGACCAAGATGTTGCCCAGCCATCACCACCAACTGCTCTGACAGGAATCACAATAGAGAGTTCTGAACCGAGAGGAAGAAAAATGTAGAACAAAATTCAAATTCACAAAAAAAGACCAGATTTACTGGTCAGACAGATACTGGAGGAACCACCGAGACTATGGCCCCCAATACCCCACTAACTCAGAACTGAAGCGACTCTCGAAGTCTACCTTTCAGCCAAAGATTAGAGGGGCCTGTAAGACAAAGAAGAACACATGCAAAGAAGGTGCTTCTTAGTTCAATCAAGTATACAAGACCAAATGGTCAACACCTGACCAAAAGCAAAGACAAAAGGCAGGAAGGGACAGGAAACCTGGGTGAATGGACATGGGGAACCTGGGATAAAGGGAAAGGGGAAGAGTGCTGACACACTGGGGGGATTATGACCGATGTCACAAAACAATTTGCATATAATTTTTGAATGAGAAACTAATTTGCACTATAAACTTTCACCTAAAACACAATAAAATAAAAAAAGGTGGAAACTATTATTTTTGTTAGAATTACTAGACATATTAGATTTTATAAATCAATTGCTTTTCTCATTCAAAAATGATTGCTACTAACAGGGGGGCAGTGGTAGAATTTTCGCCTTCCATGTGGAGATCTGGTTTCCACTTCTGGCAAATGCACCTCATGTGCAGCCACCACCTGTCTGTCAGGGGAGGCTTGCATGTTGCTATAATGATGACTAGGTTTTAGGGAAGTTTCCACATGAAGACAGACTAGGCAGAAAGGTCTGGATATCTACTTTCAAAACTCAGCCAGTAAAAACCCTAAGGATCAAAAAAGTCTGATATCTAATTGATCACAGGGATGGCACAGGCCCAAGCAACATTTTGTTCCCTTGTGCATGGTGTCAGCATTAGTCGGGGGCCAACTAGAGAGGATCTAACAACAACAGGTACTAAAACAAATGCAGAAACAATTTTTAAAAAAAGGTTAAAATGAAGCTATACAAATAGCATCAACCAATAGCTAGTAATTGAAAAACTTCTAAAACACTCAGAAACATGTAGCAAACAGGATCAAATGTGAAAGTGCATTCTAAGAAAGCAAGTGGCTTGTTGCTAAAGAAACAAAATACAAAACAAAACAAAAAACAAAGCAAATACATTTGACAATTATTTGTTGAACTGAATGACGAAAGGCTATACATGTGTTCACAACAGCATCAGAATCGTCTGGTGACCAAATCTGTTAGATTTTTCTTACCATCATCACAAGTGAAGTCTTGAATGGCAACATCCTGGATGGGGATTTCTTTTAGGAAGTATGGTTTCTGACACCGAGGATTTCCTGTTACAATTCTTTTCTTCCTAAGCCACTCTCCCAACCATGCCAGGTGGCAGTTACAGTTAAAAGGATTGGCCAACAGGTTTCTAGGAGCCACATACAAATGATACAGAGTCTAGCTTAGGGTTTTTCATTTTCTTACTTCTCAAATCCCCACGCTACCATTTTTTCCACACTATTTTTCATTTTATTTCTATATTCTCATCCCCTATTCATACACAGTCACACACAACATATGAGTGTGTTTTTTAGCTAAAATATTTGTATCTAGGCCTTAAACAATAACAATAACTCCTTCGTGTAGGAGAATTCTTCAAATAATTTCATACAAAAAAATAAAGCAAAGGCAGCAATTCAGGGTTTATGTGGTGTATCCTGATGTATTATCTCATTTGGAAATAATTTAAACTTGTCAGGCAGAGATCTGACTTGCTGTCAAACTTCCCTGCATTGATAATGCAGTAATTTAATATAAAGATGAAGGCTGATTACCTTATACTATTGAGTTTAACCTGACAACCGCTATTTCATTAATTTGTCATCTCCAGATTTCCATCTTTTATTTGCTCCAGAGAATAGGTTTCCCATCTAATTCGACAGCTGAGCTGATTAAATGCAAGTTATAAAAATGAATTGACTTCTAAAAATCTCAATGCTTTTGGCATCTCACCACTTCAGCACAAACCTATTGACAATTCCATTATTTATAAACATGCCATCTTTAATACGCACAAATTAGTCACTAGATGTAAAGTGTCACATTTTATGTGGAAAGAGGATTAAGTACTTTACTGATGGATGCTTGCCTGGAATGATTTCTTCAGTGACTGGAGCTATGTTAACTATGCTTTTTTTTCCCCAGCTACATTTATTCCCCCCACCCATCCCCTCACCCCGCGCGGAATTAGGTTAGTATATTTGGATGTTACCAAGACTGAGAAGTCAAATCAGTTATACAATTAATAATTTCAAACACTGTTTTCTAGATACTGAATTACAAGAGGCCTGAAATACATTCTTTTGGGTGTTTTTTAACTCTTTTCTGAGTTCCATCTACAGACCTACAAATGCTTTTTTTTTAATCCCCTCGCTGTCTACAACTATGCTTTCACCACATAAAATATCCTCCTGAACAGGCTCACTGTATTTCTTCAGTATTTTGGTAATATCATAGCAAATGCCCCCTGGTAAACAGGTTTTATTGTTGGTCTCATCAACCTAATGTATCTCCCGTCATTGCAAACGATCTTTCTGAGTATAGCTGGTTGGCAATAACCCTATCAACTCTCTTTTTATGATATTTATACTGAAAAAAATATTCCAATGTGAGAACACTGGGGGAGAGTCTGCCCATTTATTTATTTTTTTGAGCACTATCAAGTTATATTAAAATGAAAATTCAGAAATTGAGGCATGTTATTTGGTTACATTATTATAAAAAAGAACTGACTGAAAAATAATATAATTTGTTAAAAAATTTCATGTAAAATAGTGGATAAATTTTTCAGAAAAGCAAAATGAGTTTATCATGAGTGAATTTATCCTTTTGTTTTTACTACCTAAATTCTTGATCACATTTTTATGAAATGCCCAATAGAACATTAAGATGCTATTAATAGAACTGATAAACATAATATCCTGGCTCAAGTAATAGACAAACGAAGACTGTTTTTCATACTTACAGAGTAGATAAGGAATGGAGTGTATCAAACGCCCCTGGTGCAATCGTAGTAATTTGATTATCATACAGAGAAAGCAAGCGCACAGAACTGAGTCCTATGAAACTGTCATTCCCTACACAGCTTATGCGATTACTTCTCAACATCCTGAGGGAAGAAAAGGGACATTGTTATGGAGATAAAACATCAGGCAATCTAGTCTGCCTATCTGAGGACCAAAATAACCTCTCTTTGCAAATGCGAAGCACTCATGACTACTTTCGGAATGTTCTATTGCCATTAGGAAATGCTGCAGATATGTACTGAAAACCCCCTGCAAGAATCAAATGCTTGGAGTTGTCAATGACTACACTCAGTTACAAAAGGCACAGTGACCCTGGGTGTGGACCTAAAATCTGATCTGAGGAAGGTAGACTGTGTTCCTTTGATGCTATAATTATGTTTGCATGATTAAATAATGTCCTAATTCACCTGTAGCTCTCTGAGTCCCTGACGCCCTGTGATGTGTGTATTCACGGTAGCATTACATTTGCGGTTGAACAGAAAGGAAAGAATCAATAGCAGTGTATATGAGGAACTGGGGGCACCTCTGCGATTTACACGCCAAGTCGATGCCGAATACCAATGGGGGAGACAAACGTGACTGAACGTCCTCAAAGCTTACAGGAATTTTTTTATTTATAAAATGTGGCTGAAGTTTCAAGTTTAGATCAGAAATAGAAGCAACAGTAGTAGTTCCGAGTTGTCTGCAATGAAGTTGAAATACTCCTAGGTTTACCTGGAAGAAATTCTGACGGTGTTTTCTAGTCATCCTCAACAGATTAACACACTGTTGTCATTTCCTCCTAACCGCTAAGGTCTGGATTCAATTTTAAATTCTTAGTTAACTTTGTTTACATGTGGGGCTTAGAAAAGGCTGGCAAAGCCGCAAAAATCCCATGTAAAGACAGCTAGTTTCCATATAGCCTATTCAAAATTGCTGAAGAGTTAATTGGTTTTCTTTAATTTTTCAAAACATGTTTGGATCACTTCAAGTAGAAGATTGCAGTATGTAAACAAGAGTAGTAACAGTAAGTGAACAACCTAGTATTTCTTTAAAATTTTAGATTGACCTATTATAAATACGAAATATTAGCTTTCGCGTTCCACTATGGCACAGATAAGATGAAAGGATGATGCCCTCCTTATTAAGCTATCATTTTCTGTTAGGAAGCAAACTCACCACAGAAAAGTATTCTTGTCAGCACTATCCTTTGTCATAAATAATAAAGAGCACTTGGTCTTAATCTCATCGAAGTCAGGACCCCTGGGAGAAGTTGTCGGAAAAATCTACAAGCAGACATATGCACCTAATGTTGCCTGCAATGTCATGGATTTACAGGCTCACTGATATCTCTACACGTACCAACCAGAGGTCCTTGGAAGGCAGGCCTGGCAATCTGCTTCTGAAAGGTCACAGCCTTGAAAATCTTATGGAGTGGTTCTTCTCTGCACACAGGGGATTGCCATGAGTCTGAATCGACTAAATGGCAATTCACCACCACCACCACTAAGAGGTCTACTGGTCCTAAAGGGTTAAGAAGTCTAGAGGGAGTGGGAGGAGTCCTGTGGAAACCTCCACAGCTCAAAGCTGAAAGATACACTTGGAGGCATAAAGATGCCCAGATAAACCTACTGAAGGACATTTTGGATACCTGGAGCTTGGCTCTAAACTGCTCTCTTAGGCTTGTTGTGGCACAGGTAGATTAAGGAAAGAGCCAGAGGGGCCCTGTCTTGGGTTCCAAAACATAAGAGGCACAAAAACATCACTGGAGATGTAATGAAAGGAACACGTGTAAAGATCTCCTTGAAGAGAGAATACAGCACAGTGGGAAGAAATACTTGGATAGGCTCCTTGGGGTGCAATGACATCAACCTCTCCCTGCTCCTCCAAGGAGAAGGTTCCAGTAACAACCAACAGTCCCTCAACTACAGTAAGAAGAGAGGGTTTGGCTTGTTGCAGGAATTTTGTTTTGGTGAGTTGTGAAGGCAAGGAAGTATATGTGTGTGTTTTCTGGGGGGTGGGTGCAGCTGCCTATGTATGGTATGTCTCCTCAGCCCTCCCTCTAAACACTCCTCAGTATCTCCTCCACAGAAAGTCTGAACAAATTCTTTGCATATCATTTTGAAAATGGCTCCAAGTTATTAGCCTATGAAGGGCTGAGGGGCCTGCAGGTCACAGGCTGTCCCAGAATGGTTAGGGTTCCAGGCTAGGGTTCAAGGAACATAACTTCTACTTTTATGTGCATGGCTTCAGACAAACTTGAATTTGGGATGCTGTTAATGCATGTCCACTGGCTGGGGCTATCCCTTGCTCTCCCTGCATATGATAAAGATGAGGCAACTGTACTCCCCTGAATGTCAGTCCCTGGAGGGGGCTCTCAGGCACTGGCTGGGGCAGAGGTGAAGGTTTAGAGTAGACAGTGTGCCTCTTTGCACTGTAAATATCTCGAGGAAAAGAAAAGAGATTAGCTATTTTTAGTCAGAACAGGGGAGTCAGGTCTCTACAAGCATTGAAGCAGGGGCGACCTGTTTTGGTGAGAAATAGGAAAGTGATTTCTCAGGTTGGCAGCCAGGAGGGACTCTACTGGTCATTTGCAACACACTGAAGTCAGGAGGATTGGAGTAACAGACTGTCTGCATCCACACAATCTGTGTGTGTGTGTGTGTGTGTGTGTGTGTGTGTGTGTGTGTGTGTATGAGAGAGAGAAGAGTGAAAGAAAGATTATGCATTTCCCAACCCCTCCTCTCCGGGATTATGGTAACTGTAATGGATGGAATGGTGTCTCCCAAAACGATATGTTGGAGTCCTAACCCCTGGTACCTGGGAACGTGACATTTTTTTCGAAACAGGGTCTTTGAAGATGTTATCTGTTAACCTGAGGTCATACCAGAGTAGACTGGGTCTTAATCCCATCTAACTGCTGTTCTTGTCACAGGACAGAAAATGGAGAAACATACAGAGAGAAGGCAGCCATGTGAAAATAAATCTATAAGCCAAGGAACCTCAAGAAAGCCCTTGGAGTACCAGAAGCTGGAAGAGACAAGGAAGGATCTTCCCCTAGAGTGGACAGAGAGAGCATGTTCTTGCTGATGATTTGAATTTGAACTCCTGGCCTCTAGAACTGTGAGATAATGAGTGTCTGTTCTTTAAAGCCACACACTTTGTGGTGTTCTGTTACGGCAGCCCTAGGTGACCAAAACAATGACCAATAAATTAACATCCTTCAAGAGAACAATCACAATGCATAAGAATACTTACAAAGTTTTGAGGCTTTCCAATCCCTTGAACATCTTATGCTGAACATTTTCCAAACGATTACTTGTAAGAAGTATTTCATTTACCCCAGATGCGCCTTCAAACACTCCCTCTTCGATGTCTGTGATCTTATTGTTGCTAAAGTTTCTAAATAAAAATTGTGGAAACAAAGACTTTAAACAATTCTTTTCCAACAATGAGGGCACTAAAACAACTGAACTGGTTCCAGGTTTGATTATTTTCATCTTCTAAACAAAGTCTTCCACAACTTCCAAGCTCTTCACTGCCCAGCACTGCTGAGGCTCTGAGAAGACACCAGCAACCCCATTCCATCAAACCAAAGATACTATGAAAGAACATCTATTGTGAAAAATACCAGCCTGGTCAATGGCAAAATGATCTGCCAGGGTTTCCAGAAGTATAAAATCCTTGAAGTCAGGTAGTGGGTTGCAAACCTTTATGTCCTCCACAAAACTGAATAAGAAATTTTTCAGAGAAGTGCAACTGATGAAAACTGATTAATAAATTTATGACTAAAACAAGACAATTGGGCAGGGAAAGCAAAGGTGGACTAAAATGAGTTAGTGGTTGGATAGCGTTAGGAATATATTTGAATATGGGCTTAACTTCTATTATACTTCTCATATAAAAATGTGTTAAAACAGCCAACTAAACTCTCCGTATTTTGTGTGATAAAAATTCCGTGAATGCTTGATCAGAGGGCAAGAATGTCCAGTTAAGGCAACACCTTTCTGTACTCTCAAATTTCTTGTTCTCACTGTTGACTCCAAGAACAGGAGTACCCCTAAAGAAGGATCATTTTTACGTATGATTTTATTCTTCACAGAGCATTCACATAGGAGCTGTGAAATAAATATCTGTTGAACTGAAAGGCATCTTGTATTTAAAAAGAAAATGCAGTTAAAACCAGCTGCTATTGAGTCAATTCTGATTCACGGCAACCCATGTGTGTCAGAGTAGAGCCGAGCTCCACAGGGTTTACAGTGGCTTATTTTTCAGAAGTAGATCACTCGGGCTTTCTTCCAAGGAACCTCTGAGTAGACTCGAACAGTCAATCTTTTGGTTAGATACCAAGTGTGTTAACCGTTTTCATCACCCAGGGACTCCGAAATTACAGTTAGTATTAGTTTAAAAAGAGGAAAATGAAGAAATTAGAAACCCATGGAGATCAAGTTTATCGGGGGTAGGTTCAGACTGCTCTGTCACTTAGTCTATGTGATTATGGTCCAGCTACATATACGAACACACAGATGCAATGGCAGAGAGCTTCCTGCCTCCTCCTCATGTTTAATGTGGACAGGCACCACTGGCCTCACATGCCTGACCTCTGCCCTCTCCCTCCCACTCTCCTCCTCAGAAGAGAAGAGTACTGATAAAGTATTTTTGAAACTGCTGTGCTTATAGACTTATTTTAGAATATGAGTTGTGGACATGTTGTAACACATATGAGCTATCCAGCCAGTTTTCCAATCATTAATTTTCACGATTTTCTAATGAAAGTTTAATGAAGCAAAAAGTCAAACAGTTGACATGAATGTGCTGAAAGAGAAATAACAGCATGGTCTGGGGAATAGTAAAGGAAGTTACAAAACATTACTGAATCCATTTCTGATGTGCTTAGATTGCTGGATTCCTGCTGTGGCCACGTAACAGACCAGCTGTCCGAGTTAAAGTAAGATGCTAGCATTCCACTATGGAAAACATGGTCGGCCTTGTTTGAATACACAGCACAGAAAGGGTTATGCAGACTGTCTCGGAGAATACCCTAAATTCATGTTACAGGTCGTCATTGCTTGGACATTCTACTGGATTTAAAAAAACATTTTCCAAATTTTGAAGAAACTTACATAAAACTTCAGTAAAGGGAAAAGGAAAACAAAACAAAACATGACAAATATTTGAAAAGATAGCTAACGCATGGCTTACATTTTACGCAACTGAGGAAGTTTCTTAAAGATCCCAGTGGCTTCCAACACTGTGAATTCGTTATTATTGAGACGCCTATGGGGGAGAAAGAAACAGAAAATTTTCATTACTAGAATTCAAGAAAAGATAAAATTTTACTTCCCATACTGAATTACAACAGTACTTAACGATAATCTTAAAATAAAATACAGTGTATATATTACAGAAGATTGCAGCAGACTGATGTTTCCCCATTTTGCTCAAATTTTAATGATCAAAATAAGATATATTAAAACACACATAGTAAAAAAAAAAAAAAAATCAAAACCAGCTGTCATTCAGTAATCTCTAGGGCAATGCTCCCTTAAGAAGTATTTTTAAACATTTTTTGGCCTAATCATTCCCCTTCATAATTTTTTAACAGCTTATTTGAGATATAATTCACATGCCATAAAAGTCACTTCTTTAAAGTGCACAATTCAATGGTTTTTAGTATATGCACAAAATTGTGCAACCATTACCACTATCTAATTCTGAAACATTTTCATAGACCTGAAAAGAAATACCATACCCATTAGAAGTCACTCCCAATTTGTTCCTCTTCCCTCTCGCAATCCCTGGCAACCACTAATCTACTTTCTCCCTCTATGAATTTGCCTATTTAGAACAGTGCATGTAAGTAGAATCATACAAAATGTGGCTTCTTTCACTTTGCATAGTATTTCCAAGGCTCATCATGTTGTAGCATATATCAAGACTTTATTTTTTTCGGTGAATAATGATCCATTGCATGGATATGCCACAGTTTGTTTTTGTGCAAATATATGTTTTCAATTCTCTTGGATATACACACAGAAGTGAAACGGCTGCATCATGTGGCAACTCTATGTTTAACTTTTTGAAGAACACAGCCAAAATGTTTTACAAAGCTACTGCACCATTTTCCATTTCACCCAGCAATATATTAGGGTACCAACTGGTCCAATTTGTCAACATTTGTTACCGTACATTTTATTTTTATTATTATTATGGTCATCCCAGTAGGTATGAATGGTATCTCACTGTAGTTTTGATTTGCATTTCCCTAAGACTAAAGTTGTTGAGCATCTTTTCATGTGTTTACTGGCTATTTGCGTATCTTCTTTAGGAAAAAATCCACTCAAATAATTTGTTATTAGGAAATGTAATTTTTATTGTTGAGTTGTAAGAGTCCTTTATATATGCTGGCTACAAATCCTTTATCATATATGTGATCTGAAAGTATTTTCTCCCTGGTACTGATTTTTAAATATATAATTTTTTAAATTCTTCATTTTTCAAAACACACACACACACATGCAGTCTTTGCTTAGGCAAAGACATTACTTTCTATAATAATTTTTGATTGACAAATAAGCCTATTTAAGGTGTTATCATGCTGGAAGATATAGTTTCAATTACTGTTTGTAATATTTTTGGAAATACACATAACTCCCTATAAGACTGTAGAGTTCAGGGCTTTCATTGCATGGCCTTCTTGCGAAAGTTCTGCAGGTATGAAATAGCTCCGTGTACTAACAAGAGTAAAAAGGCTTCACTTTAACCACAGGGAAGCTAGTCATTACATTATTTTTATTTATCCAAATAGCTTAAAATTCATTACATAAAAGGCAAGAGCGCAGGCACAGTGAGAGATAAACTGTAAAACACAATCCCTGTCATCAAGGGGCTATGCTCTAGTTTAAGACAAAAGGATTACGCACGCACAAAAAGATAACCAACTTTGCAAAGCAGTAACTGACAAATGCCAGATGGTACTATACATAAAAACATTGCTAAGATGTTCACGCAATGATGAGATTTTGCTAGATTTTCCTGGAATTTTTAGAACATTGACACTGAAGGCTTTGCTTTTATCAATAAAGTCAGTAAAGGCAAAACACCTATGGGCATGGAACCTACAGATGATTCAACAAGCGTATTTTTAGCACCTACTATGGGATAGGCCCATATTAGGCTTACAGATATAAATCCTATCACACTTTGTCTTTTCTGCTTTATCTGTTCTGAAAAATACTGTCCTTTGGCTTTAATATTTCATAATCACTGAATCCTACTTGTGAGTCAATGAAATAGTAGAGTTAATAAGAAAAAAGAGAAATTAAATTCCATAATTAATAGACTTCAAAATGGCGACTCTCCCACTAACTTACATGGTTGCTGTAAAGATTAGATAAGTTAATTTAGAAACTGCTCCGGGCATAGAAAATGCCCCATACATGCTATTATTATTAGCATTACTAGGTGCTAACTGAATTTTGAGCAATAAATTAATTTCCGTAACTGTGTCTTGGGCCAGAAAGATAAACAAAGATGGCTTTTAATGTATTCCTTTAAAAAAATATTGTAGTAAAATACATAAAACATGAAATTTGCCATTTTAACCATTTATAATAATTTCAGTGCCATTAATTATATTCACTATATTCTACAACTATCTAATATGCACCTGTATGAAGAAGAGTTACACCAATGGGCATTACTTAATATTGATGTAATTATTGAGAAGAAAAAGGCAAGACAAAATGCCTGTGCTTTAATAACTTCATTCCCCACCGCCAACCAGGATCTCACTGCGGGGTGAACTTACAGCTCTGCAGTGTACTGGGGGATGTGGTCTGGGATTTTGTTGAGTTTTTGATTGGAGCAATCTACTGTGGTCCCTTCACAGCGGCACTTTTCAGGGCAAGCCAAATCTGCAAAGCAGTCTCCACTTAATTTTGATCGATAATCTTCTGTACCTATTGAGGATTCAAGCCAAAAGAAAAGATCCTGAGTCTAAAGGTTAGACTATTTATTAATTTGTAGGGAGAAAAAAAGTGAGATAACTATAGATTATGCAGCAGGGAGACAACTTGGGAATTTTGGTCAATGGATGTCAGGAGTGGGTTAAAACAAGGCTTGGAATCTGCTGGAAAAAAAAGTGACCAGATTCACAAGACAGAAAGACATTAATAAAGTTGAGCTTTTCACAGCTGTACTTTCTGCTGATCCAGTTATGAGCCATTCCTGCATATTTCTCAGCTAATCATACTATGGCTACTAATTGTTAAAAAAGTTTATTTTTTCTCTGAGTCAAGATTTTAAAATGTATTCTGTAATAAACATATTCCTATATGTCATTTTTAAATCAGGGCTTTCAAGGCAAATAGATGTCTCCAAGTTTTTGATTCTTTAGGTTCTTTTATAATTCTCTCCCTCTCACATAATCTTCCGGAATGTCATAAAAAGCCCTCTTTTTTTCATTTTTGTTCTTTTTTTTTTATAAAAAGAGACAAGTAAATCCTGATTTAAGCCTCAGCAGCTTGCCATGCTGTAGAAAGCTGCGTGACGTTCCATGGTGCTTGACAGAACCATGTTTTACTCATACCTCGCAACCACATGGTTAGATCAAGCACAACAGAAAATCTCGCTACAGAATCACTACGCCATCCACTAGGCCAAGGGAAAGACCAAGAGGAAAGATAAAGGGAAGTAGGAGAAAAGTTACAGACATTCTGGAAATGTAATACTGTATACATGACATGCGTTCTTCTCGCAGAATGTTTAGGACATCAGTAAGGGTATTACTACCGAAGACTTCCTGGAAACACAAAGAGGCTATACTGAAAGGTGCCTCCACTGCTCCTCGGAACTGTAGAATGGAAACAACAGCTTTCGGGAACGACATCAGGAAGAAGTTGAAGGTGAGCTACAATGACAACAGAGAAGCTCAAAAGATCTTTGGTTTCTTCTTGGGAAAAAGGTTGCAAAAGGCCAAGACTAGAAGAAGATACATCAGGATTGAAAAAGGAGGACATCATGTTTCAGATCACACACTTTTACTTACAGCCAAAATGGTGAATTCCTGCAAAAGTAAAGATCACCAAGAAGGAAAGAAAGAGTAATCCCAATTAAGATTAATGCACAGATACATAAAACTAAGCTCTCTTCCTTCTTTCTTGACTGTTGCAATTACAGGGGACTAGCATGGTGTGAGAGGAGTTTTCATGCTTTGTGAAATTTCGTAATTATTTTTGAGGCACAGCAGTCTTCCAAGAAAAGCAATGGCATAAAAGATAGATGTTACAAATTAAGTTCTTGTGGATTTCTTTGAAGATGAATTCTCTGCAAGACAGATTTTCTTTTGAGTTATCACTGTGCAATCTAGAATACCACATAGAATAGCGGTAGACAAGTAGACATGTAAAATTAAGTAAAAACTAACCACAGATGTTCTTAAGGATTAGTATTAATGCATGTGGATTAATACTTAGGTTGTGGCTTACATACTCTTTAATGACCTTTCTGAATTAAAAATAATGTCACTTAGTGGCAATGGAATCAGAATCTCCTATGACATTTGCCATGCTTTATATAATAGCTTTGATACATTTGTCAATTAGTGTATTAATATTTATTGGGGATCTTCTACAGGGTCGCTATGAGTTGGAATGGACTCAAACGCAACGGATTTACGGGTTCTGTATTGGTTTACGTTTTCGTCTCCAAAGTGAAACGAGGTCATGTTGTTTTTGTTAGTTGTTGCTGAGTTGATTCTGACTCATGGTGACCCCAAGTGTGCAGAGTAGAACTGCTCCATAGAGTTTTTAAGACTGTAAACTTTCAGAAGCAGATTGTCAGACCTATATTCTGAGGCACATCTGGGTGCGTTCCAACTGCCAGCCTTTTGGCTAATAGTCCAGCACTTAACAGTTTTCACCACCCAGGGCCTTGTTGAAATGACGGCATACTGGTAACGAAGTCTAAGTGACAGGTATGTTAAATATCTTACATTTAAAATAAACTGCATTTAATGCAATAACAATAACGCTTATTTTATCATGGTTCTTTTTGTAGTTTAATTTTTAATTACAATTTTGATTAAAAGGGTGCCTGGCTTCTATAAATTCTATTTTAAATTATGTAAATTGAATTATCAGAAATTGAAAGATAAGCTGTGATAACTGATATAAAAGGTATTTTCCAAAACCTATATTATTTTGGCTGCTTTCAATAAGAGGGCAAAACTGTATCTGAATTCAGAATGTATGAATATAACCTATTTGTTACTTACTTGGTGAGTCTAAAAAATTAATTTCTATAGTATTAATCAATAATGTTTAATGAGAATAGTTTAAACAATTTGAGAACAATTATATTAGCAGCTGTAATTTGGGGACATAAATTATATTCATGTTCTATTCTAGAGGTGGTCTGATGTTTAGAATATGGATTTTTCAGGGTAACTAATAGCTATCAGATGACTTTCTATTTAATAATTGGGTAAAATTAATGAATTTTAATTATTGCTTATGGAGGTCAATGAACTGTTCTTTTCAATGTTTTACTTCTTATGCAGCCAGCACAAACCATGAGCAAAATACATATAAAATACTGTTCATTCAAGCTCAAAATCAGCTATAAGAAAATCTGTTAAATGTATAAAACTATTCAAAGTATAATTCAATAATGGCAAGCAACAAATCTCTCCATCAAATGGACACCAAACCTAGAGCTCTTGTTAAAAAACAAATATGGCTTTGCATACGAACACTATAGAGACAGCTTCTTACTTTTAGTTCTTAAAATATACGATCCTTTAGGAATATAACCAGGAGATGGCGAATGTAGTCAATTACTAACATATTTTTATATAAAATGGTTTAAAACAAACAAGTCAAGAGGCATTTTACACAACTGGCAGGCAAGGGAAAAATAAGTCAAAAAACATATTTCAAAGAGCTAGTTCTTGTATCATCAGTCCTGACAGTCTTAAGACAGAAGTGGTAAAATATTACAATTATTTCTAAGAAGCATTTCATTAGTTATTCAAGGCATTTAGTGCCCATAAACTTCTGATATTCTCCTGAAGGCATCTACGTTTTTTGGAGTTATACCATGACTCCAGAAATGCAAGAACGTAAAGTCACAAACAGAAAAAGGAAAAACTGCAAATAAATCAGCAGGAAGCTGCTATTTTTTTTTTTTTTTAATAGAAAGTAAAGCAGAAATGAAGCACAAAGTATCCTTTTTTTTTTAGTGTAACAAAACTAAAAAAACATACATCTCATGATGGGGAAAAAGTAATTCTGCACGTTTGTAACTGATTTCATGCAGACCTAGCTCTTTGACAACAGAAAGATCTCTGTCTTTAAAACTAGCTCAATAAGCTATATTTTAAAAACAGGTTGAAAGATCAGATACACAATGTAAGGAGAGAAAATGATTTAAGTTGAAAGCCATAGGTTCATATATTTTAGCTACTGTGAGGAATTTTAGATAATGTGCCAACATGAGAGAGAGAGAAAAAACGGTGGGGGTTTATTAATATGTATGTTTAACATCAGAAGCTGCATGCAAAGGCCAGGTGTTCAGGAAACAGCTACAAGTGATCTATGCATAAGTAAATCTATCTACTGAGTCCCCACGGTATTTTCAGAAGCATGCATATCAAAGGTTTAGAAGCTATATTTTAAAGGTGAAGAAAGGGTGTCTGCAGTTAGTCCTACTACGAGCAAAACCTACCTGGAATGAAATACTGTTCTTTAGCTAAATAAAAAAAGAGAAAAAAATAGAAGATGCACCTGAATGTCAGCAAGCAGAGATATGAGTTATATTAGATTAAGAATGGACTACAGTTACTATAGATAATTAAGTGAAAAATGTCTATTCACAGCAGTGGCTGAAGTATAACAATGTACAGCGAGTACTAAATGAATCGAGAATCTTGGGCAATAAACAGCTTTGTTTCAATATTAGCTTTTTAGTACGGATTCACTGCTGAATGTGAAATATGCCTGGAATCATCAGGTAGCATACTACCCAAAACTATCATAGAATGTATTCTATCATAAGAAAACAGAAAAGATCAGCCTAAAACAAATAGCAAACTTCTATGAGGTGTGTTTTCTATTATACTTTAATATAATGCATCTGTATTTTGGCTTGTTATAAATGTAATATTCCCAAATTTTTAAAAGAAGCCCTTTTGGAAAAATTTATCTTCAAAGTCCTATTCAAAACAAGGGAATGCAAAATGAGAAAGTGGCATTAACTGTGACAAGCTAGGGACTGAAAGTCCCCACCACTTCTAAGTCTAAGCAGATTCCATAACCAAGTCTCAGTTCACTTTCTGAAGAAATGTAAATGATTACCTTTAAGTTGCTTAATGGAAAATGATACAACAAATATGAGACTTAACATACTTAAAAGGCATTCTGAATTTATTAATGAGCTCCAATTAAGTTGGAAACCTGGGAATATAGTTTTAAGAATTCAGGCATCTTTTGAACTTAGCTGAGAGCCTTTTTTTTTTTTCTGCTGGATATATTGTTAAAAAGTGTTACACATACGATGGCTATGTGAGTCATGTGTACAGTTCTTTATTTCTTTCTTCATGTGCAGAAGAAAAAGAAATATGATTCTGCAATGCTTATTAATTCAGTCGAAGGCCAGCTGTTTTGTTAGGTACCATGTGAGGGCTATTTTTGGTAACACCAGAGAAATACCAGATGAAGTAAAAAATTACCTGAACAACGGAATTTCTTGCTTTTGATCTGCCCGATTCTTTTGTTTGCCAGACGGCGGGGGCTGGTGCAGCGGGCACCACTCGTCTCTATTGGGTTGGTATGGAGGTAATCCGCCAGCCACTTCAGATGGCAGTCACAAATAAATGGGTTCTGAGCCAAATGCCTTTCAGAGACACATACAGAACAATTTTACAGGTGACTAGCAATGAATCAACTTTCAAATCTAGAAGGAAAACAAGCATCATCAAATTGGAGCCAAATCCTATGTACGTACATAGTCTGAATGGCCCGGAGAGGTGCAAAGGTCCCCTTGGCCACAGTCTGAAGCTTGTTGTCATATAAGGAGAGGAGGTTCAAGTTGTGTAGATCCTGAAAAGCATCTACTCGAAGGCAGTTTATTTTGTTGGCATTCAGTAATCTGTTTGATCAAATAGTTGCAGAATTAACGTGGAGCATCTCATTAACTCAGCCTTCAATAACCTGTCCTTCTTAAGAAGCCCTGATCAAGGAATACATTTCTTTTAATCCAAACACTAACATTTTCACTTTAACAGTTGAGGTAATACATAATGAAGATTTGGAATTTTACCAGAGAAGGCAAGGGTCATGCAGTCAAATGCGTGTCTAAAACTGGTGTTATTATACATTTATTCAGTAAAAATTAGTGAACGTTATTCTCTGGAAGATTGTAGAAGTGGAGCACTAGACAAAGGTGGGTGAGAGCCAACCTCTGTTGTTGTGAGGGCAGGCAAATACCGTAAAACCTTAGTCCCTCAAGTTGCTCTATGAGAAAAGAAGTTCCATCTGTTCTCGAGAGAGCAGAGTGGGCCCGCTAAAACACAGGTCGGATCATGTCACTGCTCTCTCAAAATTATGCTCCAATTCCCAGCTGGCGCAAAGTAAAATTTACGTCCTCACAATAGCCGATAATGCCCTACAGAATCCTTAGGTCACCCTCTGAACGCTGTCACTTCCTAGTTGTCTCCTCCTGGTTGGATCAGTCTCAGCCACTTTTTTTTTATTGTTGTGCTTTTAAGTGAAAGTTTACAATTCAAGTTAGTCTCTCATACAAAAATATATACATACATTGTTTTGTGACCCTACTTGTTCTTCCTATACTGTGAGAGCAATCTCTTCCTTTCCACCCCGGATTTCCCATGTCCATTCAACCAGCTCCTGACCCTCTCTGCCTTCTCATCTTGCCTCCAGATGAGAGCTGCCCATTTAATCTCATGTATCTACTTGAGCTAAGAAGCATACTCTTCACAAGTATCATTTTATATCTCATAGTCCAGTTTAATCTTTGTCTCAAGAGTTAGCCTCAGGAATGGTTTTAGTTTTGGGCTAACAGATAGCCTGGGGGCCATGTCTTCCAGGGTCCCTCCAGTCTCAATTAAACCATTAAGTCTGGTCTTTTTATTAGAATTTGAGTTTTGCATCCCACTTTTCTCCTGCTCCATCAGGGACTCTCTGCTGTGTTCCCTGTCAGGGCAGTCATTGTGGTAGCTGGGCATCATCTAGTTCTTCTGGTCTCAGGCTGATGAAGTCTCTGGTTTATGTGGCACTTTTTTTTTTTTTTTTTTTTTTTTGCTCCTTTTCAAACACACCAGGCTCTGTTCTCTGCCTGGAATGCTTTGTTCAACCATCTGTGTGGGGCTAACTACTTAACTTCCTGGAATCAGCTCAAATCTTACCTGCTCAACGCAGCCTACCCTGATCAATGGCTGGTTTTCACAAGTAGATCACCAGGCCTTTCTTTCTAGTCTGTCTTAGTCTGGAAGCTCCACTAAACTCTGTTCAGCATCATAGCTACACATAAGCCTCCACTGACAGATGGGTGGTAGCTCAGCATGAGGTGTAGTGATCAGGAACTGAACCCAGGTCTCCTGCATCAAAGGTGAGAATTCTACCACTGAACCACAATGCCCTCATGCCTAGCAAATAAACTCGCTGCTTTCAAGTCGATTCCAACTCATAGTGACCCTGCAGGACAGAGTAGAACTCCCCCATTGGGTTTCCAAGGCTGTAACCTTTACAGAAGCGGACTGCCACATCTTTCTCCTGCAGAGCAGCTGGTGGGTTCGAACTGTTGACCTTTTGGTTAGCAGCCGAGTGCTTAATCACTGAGCCACCACGGCTCCTTTGCCTAGCATATACTAAGTGTTTAAAAAAGGATTCGTTGTTGAATGTGTAATTTACAACCCTATTGGAGAGTGACACGGGACATTACTGTATTAAAGGTTCTACTCCTGCCTTATAATACTTGTTTCACTTGGTTTAACACAGTATCCCCCAAATTTATTCCCCCCCCCATATAATAGCTATATCAATATTGGAAGTGATAGTTTACAGCTCATATTTTCGCAAACATCTTTCTGATCGATTAGACGCGATTGTGTCTGAGCTTTTTTTCATGCTGGTCTCACTTTTGGGGTTGTACTTACCCTCCTCTCTCCTTTCTTCAACCTCCTGGCTTTTCAAGGCCTCATAGAAGGTCTACCTCTTCCAAACGCTGACTTCCATCTACCTAGAGTATTCCTCCCTCTGGATTCCAAGTCTTGTCACCTAACTACGTCATGTAGGCCTGTTTGTTTGCCCAAAGAGAGTTCTGATCCTTAGAGCTGGAACTGTTTTTTGAATTTCTTTTTCTCTGCCATCATTTACTTCCCAGTTTTAATGCTTAGGGAGTTAGCAAACATTTGCTGTTGTTAGTTGCTGCTGAGTTGACTCCACTCATGGTGACCTCATGGATAAGAGAACGAAACATTGTCCAGTCCTGAGCCATCTTCATGGTTGTTAGTATGTTTGAATCCATTGTTGTGGCTACTGTGTCAGTGTACATCTCAAAAATATGTGCTACCTGGTTTGAGTTTGTATGCCTCATTATCTAACCTGCTAAAAATGTTTTCCCTTTTGACCACATAAATCTGTATCTTTAAATAGTATTGGAGGTATTTCAGTTTTCTTTGCTTGCTTTTTCAGGTACTCCATGCACATGCAAAGCTATGACTTCCTCATGGTGACCCTCTTTGCTGCACACTTTTTGCCCCCCTTTAGGTGCTGAGGCTTGATCTTCGTTTTCTACATCATGCTTTCTTAAATGCCCTTGTTGTTGTTGTGTGCTGTCGAGTCGATTCCGACTCATAGCGACCTTATAGGACAGAGTAGAATTGCCCCATTGGGTTTCCAAGGAGTGGCTGGTGGCTGTCAACCTTTTGGTTAGCAGCCGTAGCTCTTAAACACTTTGCCACCAGGCTCCTGATGGTCTGAGGTAAGGATTGATTAATCTTACACCTCTCCACCCTGGGCCACAACGCAAATAATGCTGACCTTGTTCCCTAATTCATAAGCTAACAGAAGAAAGACGTTAAAGAGCAGAAAATTAAAGACAAGGAAAAGGTGGGGAGTTTCAAAGAAACTAAAAGAAGGGGCTGTCTGAGCATTTGTACTTACTTTAAAATCATTTGGTCCAAGGAATAGGAAAAAAAGAATTGGACACCAATTTCTTTTATTCCGTTTTATTTATCTCTACTCCCCAATACCTCATCTGTTTAAGCAGAGTTAAAATACTTAACTTTACCAAGTTCTCTGCTAGTCATAAAGAGATAATCATTGTTTTAGCCCTGGCAGGCATAAGATGAGCTTTAATCTAGAGACAAAACATTAGGCTGAGAGACAAAGAGGGCTTTGCAAGTAAGGTTTACCTACATACAGACCCCCATCGTTTAGTAACATGTTTGTTACATCAACCAACCATAACTGTATGTGAAAAGAAAATGAAGGTAGCATTTGAAGTGTTGATACTGGACAGGGCAAAAAAATAAAAATAAAACAAACCTGCTGCCGTCGAGTCGACTGCGACTCGTAGTGACCCTATAGGACAGAGTAGAACTGCCCCACAGTGCTTCCCAGGAGTGGCTGGTGGATTCGAACTGCTGACCTTTTGGTTAGCAGCGGAGCTCTTAACCACTGTGCCACCAGGGCTTTGTAAGTAACTGGTAAAGACAGTAATGGTAGGAAAACGTGGAAGAACGACAACGAGGTAGAAAATAAACAGGCATTAACTGGTTATGACATTGAGCTATATCTATAATGTATATAGACAGCTATAATGTGAACTGAATAGTTCTATTAGAAATCAGAAACAGTATATGCTAACTCCCTTGCAAGGGTTAAAAAAGAATTTGAAACCCAAATAAAGTGATCAGATCACAGACGTCAGCGTTCATTATGACTCCATTGGTCTGTTGTAAAATCAAAGTATTAGGTTATGCAGCATTAAAAAATATTTACATAGAGAAAATAAGTGATGGAATGGACTGGAAAGGAAAGGAACAGAATGGCGAGCACTACATATAGTGAAGATTCAATATTGTTTTGTTAACATTGTGTTAAACCTGTTTGTGTGTGCATGTGTAAGTGTGGTGAAATGAGTTTCCTTTAACTGGTCTTTTGCCTTGGTTCTTTAAAAAAACAATTTGAGAATTTTTTCCCCTAAGCCCTGAGGCGTTACTACCTAGTTGTCCACCTCAGAAGTTTTGTTACTTTTGTCTGGTTGATTGACATTTCCTGGGTAAGCTGTAAACACCCTGAGGTTTAATACTTTTTATCTGATCCTGGGCTGCAGCCTGCCCTGTAATTGGCATGCACCTTGCAGGGATTGGTCAATGGACTATGCAAATAAAGTGTCTGCAGGCTACTATGCAAATGAAGTGTCTGCAGCCTACCAAGGGGGGACTGGTCAGTTTGTGGCCCTACTGGGAAGGCCATGACTTGTATTTGAAGAATTCATGTATATAAGCAGCCAACCCCACTTAAGTTTTTGAGACCAAAAGATGAAGGAAGAAAAACAGCAGAAGACACAGAAGGAACAGAGAAGAAAGAAGCAGAGAGAGGAGGCAAGGAACCTCCTAAAAGAGCTGTAACGTGGTCAAGGGCTATAACACTGAGGACGGCGACAGGCCTGGAAGGGTCCCTGCGGCAGAGCCAGGGGTGGCAGCCAGCAGGGCCAAGAAGAGCAGTCGAGAGGAACAGAGAGAGCTGTCTTGCACTGAAGAAGGAAGACCTTGCCTCCGTGCTTCCTGGTACTTATCCCTAGTTATACCCTGTTCCTTAATAAACCACTTAACTGTAAGTATGGTCTATGAGTTCTGTGTGGACATTGCAATGGGTTATCAAACTCAATAGAAAAGTAGAGCCCTGTGGGAGGAATGGTTGGTGTCAGAACTGGTAAAAAGGTTAGAGAGTGGAGGTATGTCTGACTTCCACCTCATGGGAATCAGCTTTGTGCTGACAGTAATTCTCATTATCCTCCATGAAGTTACACAGGTTCTGATGCTACTAATACTACCACCCTTTTACAGTATGTGTGTGTGTGTGTGTGTGTGTGTGTGTGTGTGTGTGCAAATCTGTGAAATAAATTATATATCTGGATAATGGTGAAAAAGTTTAAGATGTGGGTAATGGGGCATAATTATGAACATAAGTTTATCAAGTAATAAAAAAAGTTTATATTTGGGAAGTTTGTGGGATTAGGAATACATGTTTATCAAATAAAAGATATAAATTCCAGCAACAATAAATGAACTAAATTTTAAAGAATTCAATTTAATAAATGAATTAAAATGACTCCATTAATAAATAAGTAAAATTGTAAACTTAAGAATTTTAAGGTAGACCAACCATGAGCTATTTGGGAGAAGAAATTACACCCTACTCATCTTTACAAGCACAGCTTCTAGGCGAGTGTCTGCCCCAGAAGAGGTGCTCAGTAAGTGTTTAGTGAATTGAACAGATTTTGAAGATCCAACACTAAGGATATTACTAACAGCATTTTAGTTTTTCGAATTTCCTCTTTACATGGACATTCATTAAAACACCTAGTGTCAACATTTGCTCTTATAAATGTGTACAGTAAACATTACTTTAGAGATAAATGAGTAGTAGCTATTTTCTAAGCAAAGCAGTCTTTAAAGATACAATCCAGGGGTGTACAGGTCATTTTCTCACTGGGACAGTTTGACGACTACTGCTGTTTTATGGCCTAATGCACACTATCATTGTGTTGGGGATGCTTATTCCAGCCCTGTCACTCCTCGGAATCTTTTGACAATGGTTGACAAACGTATCGTCATGTCTCTCTCCTCTCCAACTACTCTTAAATCAAAAGAGATGTTTCTGCTAACCCAGAACTAAAATCATTCCGATTTTTCAAAGATTAGACAGGTCTATAAAACAAAAAATAACACACGTGAGGAACGTGCTTCTTCGTTCAATCAAATATATGAGATGAAATTGGCAGCTCGTGTCCAAAAGTAGGACGAGGAGACAGGAAGGGACAAGAATTGGACAAATGGACACAGGGAACCCGGGGGAGTGTGTTGTTACATTGTGGAGACTGCAGCCAATGTCACAAAATATGTGTATAAATTTTTGAATGAGAAATTAACTTGAGCTGTAAACTTTCACCTAAAGCACACAGACAAAAGAGGGAGCTATGTTTCACAAAAGGCAGGAATCGTATAAGCTTCAAATAACAGAACAGCCAGAAAGTATACAACATTTGAGATAGTGTAGAGAGAAAGATTTCAGGACAATTCCAAAGTGTTGTCTTCGATAAATAACCATAACCAATGTTACCTCTACTAGGCTAGTATCTTCCATATCATTAAATACATCATTTTGGTCGAATTTTTCTGATGCCTCCATGAAAATACAAAATGGAACACTGATGAAAATATCATATTTAGGTTTAACAGATCAGAAATAATCAAATACTTACAGAAGCTGTAAGGAAAATAGTCCTTCAAATAAGCTTTTTGGGAGTTCTGTGATTTTATTTCCATAGAGGACACTGGAAAAAAAAGTTTTAAATTAAAAAAAAAAAAATCAGAAACAAAACCAGCATAAAATATTTATTAAATACATATGTATTAAGGTACATGCTAGGTTAGTAGGTATCAGTTCATTATTGAAGTTATAATTGAATAAACAAACTTCAATTTACAAATACTTTTGCTGACTACAGATCATAGTATGCTTATTTTAGAAAATTGGGACAACATAGAAAAACAAAGAAAATGAATATAATTCATAATCATATCCCCCTTTCATAAAAATAACCACAGAACCACTATTAAATTATGTTTTTCTACGTACCTGCATGTGTTCACACACATATAGCTCATATGGAATGAGAGCACACTCTACATAAAAAAAGGTAGCAGTAAATGTAGCTGCTCATTAAGGAACAAATTTTGGCTTTATCATATAAGGGTAATGTTTTTATCTTAAACACATAACGTGTATGCTTGAGAAATGTAACGTCTGTGGAGATGGTGACCATGGTATGAATTTAGAGAACTTTTGAAATATATGTCTTGCCCTGGTGGTGCAGTGCTGAACCGTTCAGCTGCTAAGCAAAGGTCAGCAGTTTGAATCCACCCTATGGGGCAGTTCTATTCTGTCCTGTAGGGTCGCTATGCGTCAGAATTGACTGGATGGCAATGGGTTTGGTTTGGTTTTGGTTTTAAAGGATATATGCACAGGAATGTATCCTTATGCTACCAACCTCTGATCAGCAACTAAACGCAATTTGAGGGCAAAGACCATGGATGTTAAGGACTGAATTGTGTCCCCCAAAAATATGTGTTGTAAATTCTAACTCCTGCACCTGTGGATGTAATCCCATTTGGGAACAGAACTTCCTTTTTTTGTGTTAATGAGACCATATCAATGTAGGGTGTGTTAAGCCAATCATTTTTGAGAAATAAAAAGACTAGATTAGGCACAGAGATCGAAGCACAAATGAAGAAAGACTGATGCCACATGGAGATCACCAATAAACCAAGGAATAGAAGCTGAAACAGACAAGAATTTTCCCCTAGAGCGGACAGAGAAAGCCTTCCCTCATAGCCTGCGCCCGGGATTCGACTTCTAGCCTCCCAAACTGTGATGCATAAATTTCTGTTCATTAAAGTCATCCACTTGTGGTATTTCTGTTGCAGCAGCACTAAAACTAAGACAATGACTTAATTACTTCTGTACACCTGGTACCTAGGACAGGTGGTGGCAACACTTAGGTTCTAACACTGGTTTGATGAATGGACAATTTTTTGATGAGTAATATAAATAAATAAGCAGAGAAACAAGTTAATGGATAAATTAACAAAAAGGATGAACTGAGGGGATATTTCAACGCAAAAGAATAGAAACAATTGACTCCTCATGTCAACTATTAACAATACATCTAAAAAGATACTTACATATTTATAGCCTCCAAAATTAAGGGACTGGACTAAGAAAATGATAGAAATTATATTTTAAGGAGGAAATTTTGGAAACATATATCAAGGATCATTGTTGTTAGGCACAGTTGAGTCAGTTCCCACTCATAGCGGATCTATGTACAAAAGAACAAAACACTTCCTGTCCTGCGCCATCCTCACAGTCATTGTTATGTTTGAGCCCACTGCTGCAGCCACTGTGTCAATCCCTCTTGTTGAAGGTCTTCCTCTTTTTCGATGACCCTCTACTTTACCAAGAATGGTGTCCTTCTCCGGGGACTAGTCCCTCTTGATAACATGTCCAAAGTAAACAAGATGAAGTCTTGCCATCCTCACTTCTAAGGAGCATTCTGGTTGTACTTCTTCCAAGACACATTTGTTCCTCCTCCTCGCAGTCCATGGTATACTCAATATTCTTTGTCAACACCGTAATTCAAATACATCAATTATTCTTTGGTTTTCCTTATACATTGTCCAGCTTTTGCATGAACATGAGGCAACTGAAAATACCATGCTTGGATCAGGAACACCTTAGTCCTAAAGTAAAATATTTGCTTTTTAACACTTTAAAGAGGTCTTTTGCAGCAGATTGGCCCCCTGCAATATGTTGTTTGACTTCTTGACTGCTGCTTCTGTGGGCGTTGACTGTGGATTCAAATAAAATGAAATCCTCAACAACTTCAATCTTTTCTCCATTCATCACGATGTTGCTTATTGGTCCAGTTGTGAGAAGTTTGGATGGTGTAATCCAAACTGAAGGCTGTAATCTTTGATCTTTATCAGTAAGCGATTGAAGTCTTCTTCACTTTCAACAAGCCAGGTTGTACTGTCTGTGTATTGAAAGTTGTTAATGAATCTTCTGCCAATCCTGATGCTGCATTCTTTCTCTTATAGTACAGTTTCTGGGATTATTTGCTCCGCCTATAGAATGAATAATTAAGGTGAAATGATACTACCCCGACGCACATCTTTCCTGATTTTAAACCACTCTGTATCCCCTTGTTCTGTTTGAGTGATTGCCTCTTGGTCTATGTACAGGTTCCACAAGAGCACAATTAAGTGTTCTGGAATTCACATTCTTCACAATGTTATCCATAATTTGTTATGGTCCACACAGTCCAATGACTTTGCATAGTCAATAAAATACAGGCAAACATCTTTCTGGTATTCTCTGCTTTCAGCCAGGATCCATCTGACATCAGCAATGACATCCCCATTCCACATCCTTTTCTGAATCTGGCTTGAATTTCTGGCAGTTCCCTGTTGTTGTTCTGCCACAACAGTTTTTTAATTATCTTCAGCAAAATTTTATTTGCGTGTGATATTAATGATTTTGTTTGATAATTTCTGCATTCCAAATGATCACTCTTCTTTGGAATAGTCATGTATATTAATTTCTTCAAGTCAGTTGGCCAGGTGGCTGTCTTCCAAATTTTTGGCATATCTAAGTGAGCACTTGCAAAGCTGCCTCCATTTATTGAAACATCTCAATTTGTATTCCATCAATTCCTGCAGCCGTTTTTTTGTCAATGTTTTCAGTGCAGCTTGGTCATCTTCCTTCAGTACCATAGGTTCTTGATCATATGCTACCTCCTCAAATGGTTGAATGTTGACCAATTCTTTTTGGTACAGTGACTCTGTGTATTCCTTCCATTTTCTTTTGATGCTTCCAGTATCGTTCTAAAATTCTGCCTATAGACTCCTTCAATATTGTAACCCGAGGCTTGAATTTTTCTTCAGTTCTTTCAGCTGGAGAAATACCAAGAATATTCTTCCCTCTTGGTTTTCTAACTCCAGGTCTTGGCACATTTCATTACTTTGTCTTCTTGAGCTTCCCTTTTAAATCTTCTGTTCAACTCTTTTACTTCATCATTTCTTACTTTCACTTTAGCTCTTCTACGTTCAAAACCAATTTTCAGAGTCTCTTCTGACATTCATTCTGGTCTTTTCTTCCTTTCCTGTCTTTTGATGACCTTTTGCTTTCTTCGGGTATGATGTCCTTGATGTCATTCCACAACTCATCTGGTCTTTGGTCATTAGTTCAATGCATCTATTCTATTCTTAAGCTGGTCTCTAAATTCAGGTGGGATATACTCAAGGTAGTACTTTCACTCCTGTGGACTTGTTTTAATTTTCCTCAGCTTCAACTTGAACTTGCATGAGCAATTGATGATCTGTTCTGCAATCGACCCTTGGCCTCGTTTTGACTGATGACATTGAGCTCCTTCACGGTTTCTTTCTACAGATGTAGATGATTTGATTCCTTGGTATTCCATCCTGTGAGGTCCATTTGTATACCAAAAAACCAAACCTGTTGCCGTCAAGTAGATTCTGACTCATTGTAATCCTACAGGACATGGTAGAACTGCCCCGTAGGGTTTCCAAGGAGCAGCTGGTGGATATGAAATGCTGACATTCTGGTTAGCAGCTGAGCTCTTAACCACTGAGCCACCAGGGCTCCTCTACGTGTACAGTCACCGTTTATGCTGTTGACAAAGTAATTCCAGTGAATAAGGCATTGGTCTTGCAAAATTCTATCATGTGATCTCCTGTGTCATTTTTATTACTAAGGCCATAGTTTGCAACTACTGATCTTTTTTCTTTGATTCCAACTTTCGCATTCCAATCACCAGGAATTATCAATGCATCTCGACAGAATGTTTCATCAATTTCAGACTGCAGAAGTTGGTAAAAATCTTCAATTTCTTTATCTTCAGTCTTAGTGGTTGGTGACTGAATTTGAAGAATAGTCGTATTAACTGGCCTTCCCTGTAATTGTATGGATATTATCCTGTCACTGACAATGCTGTACTTCAGGATAGATCTTGAAATATTCTTTTTGACAAGGAAGCAACACCATTTCTCTTCAATTTGTCATTCCCAGCATAGCAGACCATATGACTGTCTGATTCAAAATGGACAATACCAGTCCATTTCAGCTCACTAATGCCTGGGATATTGATCTTCAAGCATTCAATTTCATTTCTGAAAATTTCCAATTTTTCTTGATTCATACTTCTTACATTTCACATTCTGATTACTGATGGATGTTTTCAGCTGTTTCTTCTCATTTTGAGTTATGCCACATCCACTAATGAAGGTCCAGAAAGGTTTACTCCATCCATGTCATTAAGGTCGACTCTACTCTGAGGAGGTGGCTCTTCTTCAGTCGTATTTTGAGTGCCTTCCAACCTACCCATAACATTTTCACTAGCCAATTAATTTTCAGAAGTACATCACCAGGTCTTCATCCTGGTCTGTCTTAATCTGGAAACTCCGCCAAAATCTGTCCACCATGGGTTACCCTGCTCATGTTTTAAATACTGGCGGCATAGCTTCCAGCATCATAGCAACACAGAAGCCCCTACAGTACGACAAACTGACAGAAGAGTGGTGGATCAAGGGCAGTAAAGACATTTATATAAATTTTAACTTAGTAAATGCATTCTCAGGAGTTTCAGAAAATAATCAGGGATGCATACAATATTTTATGTCCAAAATAATAATTATGACATAATTTTTAGCAGTGAAAAACCAAAGACAAATCCAACATCCAAAAATCCCAAAA